TGGCTGTACTGAGTCGCGCTGACAGCAGCTCACCCGGGTAGGACCGCATTGGGCTGACATCTCACGCAGGTTCCGTCCACCAGTACACAGACTAGCAGCGTCCTGCTGCAACTGCTGCAAACCAAGAGGAAAGCTAGGGACGTCCCCTGCCCGGTCTGTACCTGCCGTCTTCCCCACGTGGAGTGTGTTGGATGTCCTGCGGCCCAACGTGCTCGACCTGCTTCTTATGCCTTGTACGCGTCCGGCCCTCACACGGCCCGCGAACTGCCGTACTGCCGTGTTGCCGTGTACGTGCAGAGCACCCACCGTCACAGCCTGCAACATGACGCAGCAGGAGTGGTGTCGTACTACTACAATGTGTGGAAAACCCGCGCCACTGCGGCCGCTGACGCCTGGCACGAGGAGCGCGTACGGCAGAAGGCCCGTGGGTCGGGTTCACCGTCTTCGTCAGATACCGAGGGTGGCGGAGGCGGCGGGGGGGAGGCAGCCGGTGAGCAGCAGGAGAAGCAGCAGCAAAAGCAACAGCGCGCGCCGATGGCCGGCGGGCCCCGAGATGGCAAGGCCAAGGGTGCAGCACCGGAAAACGGCGGGGCGCGGCGCGGCGGCGGCGGTGGCGGCAGCGGGCGGTCCGGTGGAAAGGAAAAGGATAAAGAGGCAGCGAAAGAGGGCCGTGGTGGCGGTAACCGTGCTACCCAGAACGGCAAGGGCGGCGGCGGGGGAGGGAGCCGCTCCGGCACTCGGGGAGCAGCGGGGGGCAGCGGGAAGGGAGGTCGCCGCGAGGGGGGTAGCTGAGCTGAGCTGAGCTGAGCTGCGTTCCAGGTGCCGTAGTGCGGTCATGCGCCATGTCTAGGTCAGCTCGGATGTGGTCAGGTTGGGACAGGCCAAGGTGAATCGGTAGCAATCCATTAGCACACATACGTACCTCCAAAATGTGTATTAGGGCCACACGGCCTAGCAGTTGACGAGGGGCACGTGCGAGGCGGTGTCACCGCCCGCAGGAGCGCTTGGGGCCGCCTCGTGCCGGCGGGCTTGCCGCTGGTTTCCACCGTTCGGGAAGGGGAGCGGCAGGGCGCCGGTCCGGGGTGTAATGTGTGTTTTCCTCACCCCGCCGCTTTAGGTTGCTGGTGGGAGGGCAGGCAACACTCGGAGAGATATGCGAGTAGGGAGTAGGGAAGTGGAGCGGCAGGAGCGGCAGCTAGAGGAGTAGCAGAGAGGGCGCAGGGAATTCGGACGCGGCGGAACGTGGGTCCGGTTTGCAGCAAAGTGCAGTACAGTGCAGTGCGATACAGGAGGCAGGCAGAACAGGGCGGTAAATGGGGCTGTCTATAACGCCCCACAGGTCGGGTTTTTCTTTCGGTTTCAGCGCACTCTCTTCTCGGGTCTTGTCGGACGCTGGAGGAATGGTAGAGGGTCCTGAGTGGCCTGCGGGTGTTTTGTGTTACCGGATAGCTGCCCAGGTGTGCGGCTCTCACTGCATCTGGAACCGGAACGACCCGCGCTTTCGGTTACAAATGTCACTGGGCGGAGGGGGGGGCGGGAAGTGAGTGCGACGGTGCCAGTACGGTACCGCTTTGCTTGGCTCTCAGGTCCAGCGAGCTTGTGGACGGGTGGACAGGTGTAATCGGCGTCGCCCGGTAGATTAGTACTTTTAAGCCCTCGTGGTCCCTCCTGTGAGCCCCGCCGTGCGCACGCCCCATTTGGCGCTCCGTTCTCTTGTGCTGTTATGGAGTGGAACGGAATGGCGCTGGGAATGGAAATGCATGTAGCCGCTGCACCGCTTTGAGCTTCAGATCTGAGGTCGAGTGAGTTCGGGGGCCCTCTGCGGGGAGACTCGGTAGCGCGTGGTTTTGCTTGAGAGATGAGGTCATTGGGCAACGAGAGTTTCCTGACCGGGGGAGTGCTCCGATGCAGAGGCGTGTAGGCGCTTTGAGATCCGGACGCTGCCGGCCAGCCCCATTCGCGGCAGCTCCAGCTTCCCTGAGTACGTACACTCGTTTTTGTTGAGTCGGTGTTCATCACAGGTTGTGTAGGTGGGGTAGATAGATAGCTCTGTGAAGGGCTCTCGAAAATTCCACTGTGGCATTTGGTTCCCCGGGGCAGTGCGGAGCGCGCGGTTCAGCTGGGGACCCACCGGCCAGATTGCATGTGTGTGTATGTGCGTGCTCATGATCATGACCTGACCTTAGTGTAGGGAGAACGGACATGACAATGGATTTCGATGTGGTGGTGGGAGCGATACCTGTACAGCCGTAGATGCCTTGTGAAGCTAGTGCATAGCTTGGCATGGATAGGGGAGGGGATTGGCTAGGTAGAGCTGCTGGTGCTGCTGCTTGCTGCAGGAAGTCGCTGGGTGTTCCGTCTCTCAGGAAGGTCAGGAAGGGCCAAAGGACTCCCAAAGTGGTTTGGCTTGACTGAGGACGACTTAACGGGGCCGGTCGACTAGCCGGGGTTAGTCGACCATCTAGGTGACGATTCTGCTGGAGTGATCGATGTGTTGCACTTGGAGCCCAGGCGCCGAATGTGTTGTGGTCCGTATGCCCACCGCGGCAGCATTGCATTCTGGAGTGTTGCGCCTTGACCGCCTTTGCTGCCCAGGCAAAGGCTTTAAAAAGCTTTTTTTCTTGTCATGGCGTCAGGCTGCCATGGCACAGAGGTTGACCAAGCTATCTAAAGATTTAGAAGTAGACGGGCCGGCACTTGACTCGGGTCAGATGTGCATGTCGCATCGGCACGAAGCGTCAGTTGACACTCATCCGGCCACTCACTACGCTCTCTCCGCCGGGTGCCGCTGCGCTACCCCGGGACCGACCGGCCATGCGTGGGGCAATTCAACAGGCGGCAGCTCAGTGAACCCATAAGCCGACATAAGTCGGCGTAAGCCAGCCACACATATAACCCACAAGGCACAAATTGAGGAACAACGGTCGCTACCGTCTACAAAGCTACAAATCGGAACTATGAAGGAAGAAGACGTGGGTTAGCCTGCACTGATTAAAACCTAATTGCCATCTCTGTCCTTCCTCGGCCCCTGCCCCCGCGCGCGGCACAAGCAGCGCGCATAGGCATGTGCACTGCCAAGGACGTGCATGCACACAAAGGAAAAACGCACATTTTTACTTGGCTTCGCGAATTCGCTTCAAGACGCTCAATGTAAGAGTTGAAAAACATGTTTTCCTTGTAATGTCCCACCATGAATTTCCACCACCACGCAATGTTCGCCAACCTGCTTGCCTGCTCATCTTTAACCTAGGGCTCACTCATCATAATCACGCCTGATCCGACATCCGACGCACAACCTGAGACACGGCCTTGCCTTCACCATCACCATCACCATCACAGTACCTGTGTGCTGTCCATGCATAAAATTTACGTTGGCCGGATATGCACAGCGCGGTATAGTGCTAGTAATGAGGTCTGTGCGAAATGCGCTGCAAACTTAGGCCAGGTGGCATAGGCTAGAGGCAGGAGGCACTGCAAGTCACACAGTACAAGCTGGGCTGGGCCACACAGCTCCAACAGCGCCTCTAGACGTCCCAGCCCACCGACGCCACCGGAGAGGTTGACATGCGCTACATGTGGTTCGGCTTCAGCTGGCACCCTCACGTAGGCCACGTGCAGTGACGATAGCGAAATATAGTATCCATGCCTAGACAGATGCTTCCACCGCGCAGCCACGAAGCTCAGCACCCTGAGCATCCCCACACCCGGAGTATCCCCGCATGTGTACGCCCACCTGCTGAGCCCCGCAGCGCATTGGAGAACCCGCCCCGCGACCTCCCCGCTTTCCGTTACTGCCCCCTAAGACGAACCTCAAGAGGTCTTGGTTATCTTGGTTACACGCGCCCAAGTCCCCTCCTCAACGTCCTCACTCCAGACACACCAGATGCACGCTCGCTAGGCCCAACGCACGGTACGGCAAAACACACCAATGCGACAACCCAGATCGTGCTCTCAACAGCTGCTCACTCACACCCCCTAGTTGTCCAAGCTGCGCTCCGTTCTGAGGGTGATCCAGAACCCTCCAGCGTCCTGCTGACCTACCGCCCAGGTCCTCTATACTCACCCCCAGGCAACCCAGCAGCGCTCCCCTCTCCGTTCCCTGCTGCCTTTGCCTTGTCGTCCTCCATCGCCGCAGCGGGCGACGCCACTGGCTGAGATCCGTGCGCTGGTACTGGCTTGTGCACCCGGCATGCACCTTGCCCCTGTCCAAGAGGATGCTTGTGTACATTCCCGTGCAATCTGTCCGTGTGCGGTTGGGCCGCTGCTCCCACGGCCGAAGCCACCGACACCTGCGACCTGGGCGCTGCTGCTGCTGAGGGCCCTGCCGCCTTCGGTACCACCAGCAGCGACGATGAGCCGTAGAGCTTGGCACAGCGCCCCTCGAAGGCGCCGGTCATCTGCTTCACGACCTCGCTAAAGAAGATGTCGGCCAGGTAGCCATGCAGCTGGGAGCGGAATGCAAAGTCCACTGAGAAGGATAGCCAGCATGAGCGCGGGGTGGGCCCGGGCTCCATGGTCCAGGTGGAGTCCAGGTGGTCAAACAAGGTGCTATTGTTCACCCTGGAGCGCACGGAGCGCGGCGGGGTCAGGTAGATCTGGCTCGTGTACCTGTAGAAAGGCGTGTGAGGAAAGGACACATGGAAAATGCGTACTATTCGGACGGGTTTAAAATGTGGGTTGGGGGCAATTGCTCGAGCTAAAGAGAGGAGGCATAGGCGCGCTAGGCAAAGGCCGTTAGACTTAAGTGTTCTTTGGACCAACCCCACACTCGTACCTCTCCACTAGCACCTGAAACCCGACCTCCAGCTCTGCTTCCATGTAGTTGTTGGCTGGGGGTTTTACAATGGTTGACTTTTGGCACCAGGGGACGAATTTATGGTAATCTTCGACACGCGAGACAACAGCATAAAACTGCTCGGGAGTCCACCTGGGCCAGGTCAAGCGTGACGTAATGTACACGTCCATACCGTATCAAGGACTTATACATGCTGCTGTATATAATGCAATACGGACCTACCCAACAAGACGACGCTGATTATACACTTTGGAAGGCATCTGCGTTCCCATAGTGAAAAATTTGCGAGCTGATGTGGAGGCCTGGGTATGCGACAGGTCTCTAGCCTCCGCAGGGAGCCGCCCCAGTTGCTGTGCGGCATCTGATACCGTCCATAAAGATGCAGAACTGCTGCTGGTCAACAGCGCTGCAGCGGCCGCCGACTGAGGACATTCCAGGGCACGAAAAACTGAGCGCGCAGCACAAGCTGCCGATATAAATCCCTTCCTTGCAGTCATAAATACTGGAGGACCTCCACTAGAGTCAAATTCTAACAGAGGGTATTCGCTCTAATGTTGTTTCGTTAAAGATCTGCAAATTGGAGGGCTGCGTCCGATAAGTCATCAACTATGTCCTGTAAACTGCCAGAGGAATCTTACAGGGCCCAAAAAATTTCGCTGTGACCATTTCAGGTTGACAAATACGGTTTTGTACGGCTTGAACGTTGACGCGTCTACACTTAACGTTCGAAATCAGCTAGTACGGCATGAAGCTAATTATATTTTGACTACGAAATCCCCCCAACAACGGCTCGTTTCCCGGCTTTGACATACCTACGCGTCGTTTCATTTCACAGCGGCAGTCTGCTGTACTGTACCTTTACTGTCGCTTACAGCCCACAGCCATGGAAAAAAGGAAATGCATTTTTGTTAAAGCGGGAGTGTCAAGTACGTTGTATAACGTCCCCTACGATACCGGTAGGCGTTGACAAGCGCCGCCGACACAGCGCACCCACAGCACACAGACCGCAACGCATACCAAAACCCACCCTCACATAACACTCATCTTTTCATTACGAAACTCTTGTAATCCAAGGATAGCTCCACGCAGCTGGCAACCAAGGCTCTCCGCGGTCCCTGGACTGTTCTTTCTCTTGCGCATACATCACGGTCCTATCCCAGAAATCTCAACTTGCAGTGCAGCTCCCCGCGCCTTGATGTTTTATGTGTATAACATACTGCTTGTATCCATCCTGAAGCATTAGCCCTCCACCATCACGTCGCTCCCTCTGCACACCCGGCAAACATGTCCCGGTCCACACCTCCAGTCACCTCCAGGCCTCCCGCAACCAACGTGTCCCTCTTCCTCTTTTCCCCCGACACAGACTCCAGGGTAGGTCCCACCTCATCAGGCCGACGCAGCGGCACCTCCGTACCTCCTGGCAGTTCATGGTCGAAGGGACCAGGAGAGGAGTCCACTCCAGGGGGGCCCCACTGGGTGTGGGTGCTACCACCGCCGGGTCCCCAGCTGGAGGAGGGGGAAGGGGAGGAGGAGGGGGAGGAGGTATGGCTGCCATGGCAGAGGGCCCACGGTGGTGCCACTGGCGGTGGCGGCGGCAGCTTCAGCAGTGGCAGCAGCAGCAGCAGCAGCAGTGACAACAGGGCTTTCGACGCTGGCGGTGAAGGGCGGTCGAGAAACCATGCAGGGGGGAGAGGGGGAGGGGGCCTGCAGCCTTGGCGGCTGTGGTCTCAGCGGCAGCAGCAGTCGACAGTGCACCGGATACGGCAGCCTTTCGACATGGGGCGCAGCGGCACTGGGAACAGTGGCCGCGGCAGTGGCGGCTGTAGCAGACCGCTACTGCTGGCGAGTCTGTCGAATTCGTTGTTTGCAGCTACACGGACTGACGGCAGTAGCAGTGGCGGCAACGGTACTTATGCGGTCGGAGCTGGCAGCATGGCGGCAGGTACTTCTGCTACTGCTACTGCTGCTCCAAGGCGCGAAGGTGGAGGCAGCAGTAGCAGCAGCCGCGCTCCTCGTCCCGGCTTCCACCTCCCGCAGTGAGTGCCCCTCCCGCACGTGGGGGCACGTGGGGCCACGTGGGGGCCCGCTCTGGGGCCCGGTAGCAGTGAACTGCTACCTCCTCCGTCCGGCGGGGAGATGAGGGGGAGATCGGGGCCACCGGGGTGTTGCATTGTGTTTATGTATTGTTATGCGTGTCGTGAGGTGATATTGTCCTGGAGTTCATCTGACGCCGGGCGGCGGGTGTGATTGGAGCCACACATGGGTGACACGTGTGTTGGTGTATGTATGTCTGTATGTATTGCCAAAGGTCAACTGTTGATTGTTGACCTTCGGCCGGCCAGGTGTGCTCTTGATCTGGCGGCCAGACAGCGGGCGCCAGGGGACGTCGAGGAGGGCCCCGTCTGCATGTGTGTGTATAACTGTTTGCGCAGTAGCCCCTCCCCTGGTCTCTGTGTGACTGCCACCCTCGGTGTCCTCGGGGGGATTGTCGCCTCCCCCGCCACCTCAAAGCCCCCACCTCATCCCCCCCCCCCACCCCTCCCCCACCGTGTCCAGACTGGGCATCATGCGGCTGCCCGGCTCCCCCGCATTCGCTGAGGACCAGGACCTGGCTCAGGAGCTGCTGGACTACCACACGGAGAAACACGGGGTGGGGTGGGGGGAGGGGAGGTGGGAAGAGGGAGGGAGGGGAGGGGAGAGTGGGGAAGAGGGGTATAAGCGCATACCTATCGCGTGGAGGAAGTGGAGACAGCGTTGGGGGTGCGGTTGTTATATATAGACATACAGAGACATGCCCACATGCCGGCTCGCCTAGGACCCGGCACCCGCAGGTCTGGGCCCTGGTGGCGGGGAGAGGCCCGGGCAGCTCACCCTCACCCTCACCCTAAACCCCCCCCCCCCGCATACACACACAGGGTTTCCCGCGCCCCTGCCCGCGTTGCAAGTCCCACGACTTCATGGTGCGGCGGGTGGCGGCTACCTCCACCTCCACCTCCGCACATGCGGCCGACCCCACTGCTGCCACCACCAAGGCTGGGGAACCCGCCGGCAGTGGCGGTGGCAGTGGCAGTGTTGGTAGTGGGGGGTTCCTCGGCGGCAGTGCTGGTGCAGTGGAGTGGCGCAGTCGACCTCTCCGTTGCGACACGTGTGGCTGCTGGGTGCACTTGGGCTGTGTGGGGGTGGAGGTGGCGGAGCAGGTGCCACCCAGACCGTGGTTCCACTGCAGGGCCTGCAGGTGCGGCGGGGGGCCCGGGGGGGGGAGGGGGAGTTGGGGGTAGCCAGGCAGGAGGGTAGGACACGCGGAATGTCGTGCTGTGTGTGTTGCCCGTACGTGCCTAGTGAAAAGGGGGCTATGTAGCGCACCTCTTGTGGAAACTCTCTCGCAGCCCTCGCCCCCATGCCCACCATACGCATGCATGTATGCACGTTAAGTATGTCTGTTCGTATGTATGTATGTACGTCCGTGTTCTCTGACCTGCATCCCGCCGGACAACCAGACGCCGGCCCAACATGTACGGCACTCAGTCGGCAACGAAAAGGCCCCCGCAGCCACCACCGACCGCAGCCACCTAGCCAGTCGCCAATCCCGAACCTCGCCGCCAACACAGCAAAAAAAGTTAATGGGTATGAAAAGGTTGTTCGCAAGTAGTGGTTATATAGAAGTAGTCACTTGGTCTTTCACGGGTATTAATTAAAAAGGCTAAATTATTCTCTGAAATAAAATAATAACTCTTAGTACAAAATCCTATAAGTGCAGAGGTTGATTACATGAGACCATCAATATTTTACCTAATTTTCTAAAGCTCGCCTGCAACAAACCACCCACCCACCCACCCGGCCACTCAGGAGCACCTATCTGCGACTGGAGGCTGCTGCGGAGCGGAACCCGCACCCCTCCTCCGCCTCCCCCACCCACGCGCTCTACGTGCTCACTCCGTCGGACCACCAGGCGGCAATGGCAGTAGCACTCAACCGCGGACTAACCCCCGCAGTAGCAGCAGGAGGGGGTGCAGGAGGCCGCGGTCCCGTTGGTGCGGTGCTACCGCTGCTGGCCCAGGGCTTCAATGAGGATGCCATCCGCGGCTTTGGTCAGGTGGGGCGGGTGGTGGGGGGAAACGGGGGGGTGAGTTGGCCGTGGTGGAGTGCAGGGGGTCTGGGTTGTGGGTTCTGGGGTCTCAGGGAAGTGGTCATAATGCTGTGAGATGGTCAGTCGCGGAACTGAACACCGGATGCCTGGAAGGTACGGCGTACGGAGTACGTGCATATGTATGTATGTATGTATGTATGTATGTATGTATGTATGTATGTATGTATGTATGTTGTTAAGTTACCACATACAGGCACCGGGGGAAGGTTCACACAGTTCGAGCCAGTCGGTCTTGTGTGCGCTGTTTCCCTCCCCAGATTTCGCCAGCCGCGGAACTGAACTATAACTCTTTTAAGGTCCAGCCACGTTGCTACGGAATAGCAGCCGCGTGAACACATACACATACACACACATACACACACATACGCACACACGCGCTCCGCATGACCTGTCCCGCAGCCTGCCCGCGAGTACGATGGCGGCAAGTACAGCGCCGTACTGTTGAACCGCGGCCAGCCCGTCGCCGCCGCCACCTTCAATGTGTTCGGTGCTGATGCGCAGCTGTGTCTGCTCGCCACTGCCGTACAACACCGTCTCAAAGGCAACGGCTCTGCTCTGGTGGCAGATCTGGAGGTACAATCCCGTATTCCGTTCTCCTGGAAATGTACGACATTTGTCCGGCATGGTCAACAACATTGTTGCTGATGATAAGGAGCAAATGTCGTCCTTATCCTGATGTGATGAGTTCGCCTTTCTGTGCACTGTGTTTCGGGCGCTGTGGTCCGTGTCACTCCAGCTCCCCCCCGAGCCACCTGACTCATGCACACACACTCTCCCGCAGACTCGCAAGTATTCAGCAACCACCACCGCCACCAGGTCTTACAACCTCCACCACTCCGCTGTCTTCAGTGCACCTCCAGCTGTCCTGCTGCCCGCCTCCCTGTCTTGCTGCTCGGTCCAGGGGGGGCCCTGGGAGTCCCCGCCCCCCGCCCTGTCCACCAAGGGCCCCTGTTCGAAACCTGGTAACCCCCGCCCGAACCCACTGGATTGCAACGGACCGGATCTGCGATCAGGTCAATTCAGATCCGTTTTGTTATCGTCGTTGCCTGGTTAAGATTCTCTCCTACACAATGTGTACCCTCCCCTCCCCGACCCGCCCCAACCCTTTGCCGCCTCTCCCACCCCCTCCTTCCACCTCCCCCCCGCCCCAACCCACCTCTACAGGCCCTTCTGGCGGATGTGGGAGTGTCGCGGCTGCTGGTCCAGTCCCGCGGTGTGGCGCTCCCGCTGTGGCTGGGCCGTCTGGGCTACCGCCTGGTGCCCCCGCAGGAGGCCCTGCAGCTGCACCGCACACTGCCCATCGCCTACTACGACTGCGCGCTCATGCAGAAACAGCTGCGGCCCCTCTGACTGCGGCGACCGGCAGCAGCAGGAGGCGCAGTCAGGGAGACAGGAGGCGGCGGCGCCGGTGGGGGTGTGAGGGGACAGGGAGCGGGGAGGCAAGCAGGCAGGCGGGCGGGAGGACGCCAAGGGTTAGAGAGCGGCTGCACAGGAGACAGCGGCAGAGCAGGCGCAGGGGAAGGTATTATGCAGCGCATAGGTGGCTGTGGAGATGGTGGGGACTTGGTCGAAGTCCCGGGGCCCGGGCCGAGCAACCCGGTGCGCTATACCGCCATTCCAGGATAAGCAGCATAAACGGAAGCAGCATGCTCCTACGGTGCCGCTGTCTTACGTGTGGATTTGTGCCCTGAGAACCTCCAGTCTGGCAAAACATTTCTTTAGTTGCCGATTTGCCGTACAGGGAATTGCCATATAGGCGTCAGGTGCATACCTTCGGTCCTGCGGTGCCGTGTGAGGAACCGCCTTTCCTGTGCGTGAGCGTGGGAGCGCGAACAGGACAGGACACATACATACACACACAGGGGGTAGCCTGGATCGAGGGTTTCCTCCCAGCACCACGTCCCCATCCCCACCCCCGGGCCCCGGTGAACCCCCAGACCTCAGACCGCGCTCCGAGCGGTCGGTTTGCAGCCGGGAGAACGAGCTGGGCGGCAGCGGGGCATGAAGAGCGAGTCCCGAGTGTGAGAGCGCCTGTGTTGTTCGCACCGGTTCATGGCCGAGTAACTCGCCTAACCCCCTCGCTGCACATTTTGTCGTCCAACACAATAACGGCTGACTTGGGTGATTTGATTTTAGGAGTTAATGGTGGGAAGTGAGCTGGCGGTGTTCTTCTTTACCGATGGCTTCCGTGGGCCTTTCTACTTACAAAAGGGAGGGCCCGTCCCGCCAGCCGCACAGACCTTCACCCCACCGCCCCACCGAGGGGCTGTGAAAGTCACGTCGTAAGGGAAATTGGTCAAAAGTTTGGGTGGGAGAGGTGGAGCATTGGCAGGGGCCGTTGCTGCCTTTGTGCGGCTTTGCGAGGCGCAGCACTGGACGGCAGCCTCCCCCGCTGTTGTACAGCTGCCGTACACAGGACCAGCTAGTCAACCACACAAAGGAGATTACATACAATACACAACTGACGTATTCACAACTGGCAGAAATAACGACCCGAGTTGCGGTGATGATGAGAGCAGGCACGCTACGGCGCTAACGGACTGATGTGACAATCAAAATGTACAACAACGCTTGGTGTTGGCACCGCGACAGGTTCACTGCCTCCGGCAAACCCTGGTTGACAAAGGCGAGTTGTGACGGCACCGCTCTGCAGGGCACCGCCGGGAGTGCCCGGTGTTGTTTATTAAAGCAACATTGCGAACATGAGAATGGAGATATGGTGACATCCCCACGCTTCATAGGTACACCCCCTCCCCCCGCATGCAACCACCGCCTCCGCATCCCTCACTCCGCCCCATCTGGCACGGACAAGCCCGAGACCGCGCGCCTAGCAGCTATCAGAAAGGGCTGTCCTTGTTCGGCCAGGGACCCAGGAGCGAGAGACCTCAGCAGTGCCGGCACAGACCTGTCACCAACTGGAGCAGGAGCACTGCAAGTGCAGTCACGAGCTAAGTAAAACAAAACCCATCATCGCCCTTTCATGGTGGGACCGTAACGGGTAGGTGGGATGCACATCAGGTGCGGAGGCGTAGAAGCCCAGAAACGTGCGAATTCGGGAGGTGCAAATGTACCCATAAGGCGCACAAGCCATTGCTATCGCGCGCTGGTGCCGCGTACTTCTTATTGGGGGCCAAGATCGAATTGGAGCGGAATTTTCCTCCGCGCCCTTCACACGAGCGCGAGGGACTCTACCCCGTCCGGAAACAGTGTGTCGAGCATCAGGGCCCTGAGGGGCCCGCTAGAACCTACTTTGACCCACCATCGCAAAACCAAACCATTAGTGCTGCCTTTGGAGAGACGCACGCACGCGCGCGAGCAGACAGGGAAAGCCCATCGTAGACGCGGTCACATTGACGCCTCCTCCTTCTTAGCAGTGCTTCCGAATGATCCGCCGGAATGGAAGCTGCTAGGCCGAACTGGTCGCCGACCGGCGGCCCGCTACTGCCACCACCACCACCACCCCCAACAACAATACACCATCATCATCGCCGTCAGAGCCCCACCCCCATCAGCGCAGGTCCCTCCTGTCCCTCCGCCAGGCTACACATCCCGGGTGCTCACGAGAGCGTAACGGAGCGCCAACGCGGATGGTCGCCTAGCCATCCCCCCTCCCCACACGCACATGGCACATCGCGGGCAGCCGGTGTGCGCCCAATTCGCTTCTACTAATTCTCCATTCCATGCACAATCCAATGGAACCTGAGACCTGGCACTGGGCAATATGGGGCACCCCGTGGTCCTCTTCTGGCAGCGGCTCCGCACGCGGGACGACGCAGCCCCCCTTCTCGCTCTGAGTGCAGCTCAGTAGAAGATGGTCAGTGTGCGGTGATGTGGCGGGTGGGTGGCGCGGTCCCGCTCCCCAATCTCCCACAGCCACCAGTCTAGCTGGATGGCGTGGGGCAGCTGAGCGCCGGTGCCTGTTTAGGACATACGCACACACACATACACACACGTAGTATACAGATGTACAACGACGCGCCAACATAGCGGCGGCTGCAGCACGTTGGGTGGGTTAAAAGGATTAGCGGAGAGGACCTGGATGAGGTCAGGTGGGCCTCACAAGGGCCCTATGTGCGGCCGGCGGGGCTGCCGGGGGGAACGAGATCCCGACCCCTCCGTTCCGACATCCCGCACGTCATCATGAGGCCCCCACTCAGCATTCCCCTAACTTCCCCAGGAGACCTCCGTGCCCGGGCCCCCTCGCTCGGCTTCGTCTCCCACACCACACCACCCTACCCCACCCGCTACCCGCCCCCTGGCGCTGCAACACACACGCACCGAGGAACTTGTGCGCAATAGCCTCCCGCAGCCGCTCCACCGCCGCAACCGTACAAGCGCGAATCTCCACCTCCTCCGGGCTGCCCGCTGGAATAACCTCCCGCCGCTCCACCTGCAAACAGACAGACAGACAGGCAATGAGGCGGACGGTAAGGAAAGCAGGCAATAGAGGTGGGAGGGGTTTAGCACCCCATAGAGGCAACAGAAAACCAGTGGCAACAGTTTCTCCTCTTTCCGTACTTTACCTTGGCAGCCAGCTCCTCGCTGTACGACAATATGCCCATGTTTCTAAGGACCACCGGCACCCGGTAGTCCGCAAACATGGTCAGCTGATCAATGTCCTGTACGGCAAAAGAGGAGTTAAATGGCGGCGGGTATCGGGCGGGCGGTGGAAGGCGGCTGCGCTGGTGGCGGCGCAGCCTGACGTTTTGCGGCGCGGAGGCGGTTCGCAGTGTAAGAAACAGCCAGCGTGGTGGCGCACATCCCGCAACTTGCGCACGATGCGATAGGAGCTGCCGGTACTGGTCCCGGTACTGGTACGCGTACCGGTACTGGCGCTACCGATGGAACCGAAAGGTGAGGTGAGGCCCGGCAGCACTCACACAAAAAGCACCCAGGCCTTCGCCGCCGAAAGCGCCGTACACATCCCCCACGAAGATCTGCGCGCGCTTGTACAAGAAGACCTGGCGACCTGCGTGTTGCGTGTGTGTGCGTGTGTGTGTGTTTTAGGGGGAGGGGGAATCGGCAGGAGGTGTGGAGGTCAGGTCAGGTCCATGAGCTGCCAGGTCTACAGCGGCAAACCATTTCTCCGGGGGCTCTTGAAGTCCCCCCTAAACCCCCCCTGGGTGAGGGGGGCTAGCAGAGCCTTCTCTCCGCATACCCGTGAGTGAGGAGCTGTGTAGCAGGACAGTGCGCCAGTCAGCTATCCGCTCACCCCGATACACGGCGTGATCTCGGAAGCCAGGGAAGAGCTGAGCCACCAGCTGCACCAGCCCCAGTGCCGAACCGCCTGAAGGGGGGGCGGGGGCCCGGAAGAGAGGTAGGAGGGGAGGAGAGGAGGAAAAAGACAAAACGGAGTTGGGCAGATCGTTCATTGGCGGATGAACGACGAAACAACAAATCGCAGACGAGGCGGGCGGCAAGCGTCACACGATGCGAGGCAGACATGCAAACGTACATACTAGCCAACACGTCAGGCAGGGACAACGAGGGAAACGGCCAACGGGCAGTGGTTTTTTTTTCATTTAGGACGGATCTCTTTTTAGTACTTGATAAGTGATACAATTTCAAGCAGGGTTTTGTGTGATTTTTTAACTAACTCTGAGGCGCTGGGGGGCCTCCGCCCCAACTTCCCCCGGCCCCCCCTCCATCAATTACAAGTTCCCTCGCAAACCCCAATAGAGGCACACGCAGATGGTGCAGTTCTCACTGTCATTCGTTCGCGCCATCACGCCATCGTCGTGCGCATCGATAGGTTGGTATGCTTTGCTAGCTATTCTATAACTTCAGATACTATGGTTCCTTCAAGAGCTGTCCGTCATTTTTGGATGATATAATGGCAATGTACGACTCGGCCTCGATCCATTCCTTTAATTTAAGTCGCGATCTATACTTAAATCGCGATCTATTACTTAAAAACGCATATGATTTTAAAATTCACTGGCAACAGGAAACCAGCCTCCCGCTTAGCCCAACCACCCACTCACCCGCCGCCTCCACCATTTTAGCCGCCTGACCGCCAAAGTGCTGCAACAGCGTCGAGCCCACCTGCCGACATCACCAACAGCAGCAGCAGCAGCAGCACGGGGCCCCCGTGGGGTGGTCACTGCCATGTGGTGCAACAGGAGCGAACATTCGGAACCGCATTCACTAGCCCTCTCCCTCCCTCCCTCCCTCCCTGACTTCATTCATTGCAACTAACGGCCGCCATCACCGGGCCCCACCCCACTCCGAAACAAGGGCAGCTGCTCCATTGATTAGCACCGCATATCCCACTACGACTTTGACAAGGGGATCCCCTCGAGCCCCTCCATACCCACATCGTCTTCCCGCCCCACACACCCTGATGCCGCCAGGGCTCCCCTACCTCTCTGAGCAGTCTCGCCCTCTCCTCCTCCAGCGGCACCTCCCGACCCCAACACCCCATCAGCCGCCGCACATCCGCCCCGGTGCTCCACAACAGCTTCTCAGCGTCCAGGCAGGTCGGGTCGGACTCCACCGCCGCCTGGAGCGGGTAGGGTGGGTGGGGTGGGTGAGGTCGCGGGAGGGCCACTGGCGCTCATGCTACATATAAGGCCGTTCATCACTAATACCTTTTTCCGTTAGTGCTTTATTATCGTCCTATATCTGGGATTGACGATACGCAGGCAAGTGGTTACAATATTTATTTACGTCTAATTCCCTTAACTCATCACTATAAAGCGTACTTAGATTCGGCACTGGTACAAGCATTAAAGAGGCGGGTATCGACCCCCAACCCAACCTGCGCCTCTTACTCCGCCTCACTCACCCCACATCGGATCCTTCAAGCCTCCACCAAACAACATGCACACCTACCTACCTACCTACCTACCTACCTACCTACCTACCTGCTTACCTACCTACCTGCTTACCTACCTACCTGCTTACCTAGCCAGTTAGCTAGCTAGGGTAATTTAGGTAGCTGGGTACGCAGGTAGACCCGGCCCCTACACAACGCCAACATAGCACCCTTCCAGCTCCGAAACCCCTCACACCCCGCATCCCCCTCACCCACCTTGACCCCCTTGGACAGGTGCTCATATTCCAGCTCCTCATCTGTAACCAGCAGGCGGGCGGGGCGGGAGGGGCCCCGAGGGTGGGGGCCCCAACGGCATCACGTAAGGACCGGTCTAGCTTTGCCGGGTGGGGGAAGGCTTCAGACTACTCCGAGATGAGCTGAGAGCGCGGCGGTAGGCGGGGGGCCCGGGGGCCCGGGGGGGGAAAGACGAACTACAAACGAGGGGGGGGAGGGAGAAAGGGGCAGGTAATGCGTGATGCTGCCGGTAGTGCTAGGATGCCCACATCCGGGTGGTTCCTTTCCTAGGAACGAACCCGGTCCTTTCCGGGTGTAAAGCTGTCCCATCTCCTTCACAGCACGGGGAAAGGCGGAGCAGGGAGCGGATGCGGCCTGTTAGGGGCTGCAGCAGAACGGCCAGGGCCAGGGTCAGGGCCCCGCACCTGGCCAGAAGCAGAAGTTGAGGGCATCCACTACCAGCAGGTACTGCACGGTCAGCGGGCCCCCGTCCACGTAATGTAAGTCTGCATGGAAGAGGAAGGGAAGAGAGGGAAGGGGAGGGTTATACCTTGGGGGGGACCCCGGGTGGTTTTGGAAGCTGATAGCCCACGTGGGGTTAGGGAGAGGTTGAGTCGCCCAAGCTTTACCAAAGTCCGCGTCCGCACCCTTCAAATGCATCGTCATAGGTGGATGCAGGTGACTTGAAATTGATCACTAGCATCTCGCCCCCGTCGATTCCCACCTTTATTGTAGGCAGTGGGGGATGCCAGCTCCGCAAGCTTTTCGATGGTTAGGTCATTCACCGCCTTATTTATCGCTACAGAGGCGAAAGGGCCCAGCTGATCAGCTATCAGTCGAAATGCTATCAACGCTTCTATAAAAACACCAACCGATTGGTGACAAAACTTCGCTGGCCGAGGTACCGCAAAGGTAAAAGTGAAGGACGAACCTTTCTGGTTAATGTGGACGTGCTCTGCTTGATCAGCTACAAACTGAGATGTATTTTTAACGGCATTGATGGCTGGTTCGAAGGAACTCGTTAGAAGCCTACGCACGACAGGCAGGTCGGCGCATCCGCACCCATGCGCCTAAGTTGGAAACTCACTGCCGGCCAATGATATTTAAATGGTTAAATGTGATGTCCGTGCGTGCATCCATAATCGAACCCACCAGGGTAAAGGTGCAGATTGGTGTTCACCCGCCGTTGTGAGAGACTCCCGAGCACGAGATATGCGTGCATGATAATTCATTGTGACCACTGTAGCTTGAAGTATGTTCGCAGACGCGATTAAGTGAGTCAGTCATCACTGACTGACTCAGGTAAACGGTGTGCCGTACCGTCCTAAATATCTCGGATGGAACTAGCAATGAAATATAGTTTTCAGTTCCCCAGGCGCTGAAATGGTAAGAACTGCCTCAAACATGCTATTACTAACTTCCCCGTAATACGATGCGTTGGACAGGCCGACGGACGCTTCCGCAGGCCCCTCCCAGTCCCCCGCATCTGCACAGAAAGTTAATGGCAATGCGTCGTACTGCAGTATAACAGTGAAAATCAAAAGCATGCGTCACCAAGTTGATTCGCTGCCGCTGCACATTGAACGACTGAACATCTACGCACACGATGTCGCGTCCCGCTAACGGGCAATCAAGCTGACTTCCCGCGTCCACATTCTCTCCATCTATCTGTACAGTAGTCACGTTGACGTATATGCGTTAGCAAGGCCAAACACTCTTGGACTATTCTTGGACGACTCCTTGCGCCCGTGTACCACAACGAACAGACTCCTTGGCAGCTGCACATGCCCCTTGTTTCCTGATCTGCGGGTTTGAAAACTGTGTGACATCTCGCTCGCTCCTTCAGTCCTGCTCTCGAAGTACTTTACCAGAGAAAAGAGAGAGAGGGAGAGCAAGGCACCCTAAGGCACCACCACGCTCTAAGCAACTCCTCTTTGTGCACGGCCTCCTTAGCAGCCTTTCATCGGCCCTACATATTCCATCTGCGCCCCTTCCTGCTCCAAGGTGCGAAGTGAACACGCATGCATTCTTGAGCACTCGTTGCCGTGCCGCCGGGCCTCTTGCATCTCTTAAGCAGCCACTTAGTGACTCCTAGCTACGTATTACGGTCGACCCCCAAAGACACTCCGGTACATAGGAAAGCGTAAAATGAGTTTCGGCTTCTGCCAGTACCCCCCTGCCTGCCACGCGGCCAGAACCCCGGCTGCGTCCCATGTACCATCTAGCTGTCAGCTCCGGGCTACCCCTGACTGCAACGTGCACTGCGGCCCAAGGGATCCTGACAAGCCCTAATCGAATTCCCAGCAGCAGTCCCGCCCCACATGGGAAAGCGCTCGACTCCGCTTCTCAACCCTCAGCGTAGCGGCTCCTTGGGTTTCATCAGTGCCTCCGCCAGGAGTGACTGGGGCCCGGAATGGCCCAATGGCAGATCTTCAGGCCACGAAACTGAGCTGATGGGGACTTGGGCAGCCGGCCCAAGCTCGCGATGAATCTTGGCGACCTGAGGCAGGAAACACCACAACTTGAAGTGACGAAGGACATGCTTGTCGTGCACGGCAGTGCGTACAGTGATGCGTACAATGACTTGACCACCTTGCAATGACGTTACAAAAACACGACTGGGGGGGGTTGCGCTCTCCCTCCGCGGGGTGTGCCTCCTCACTCCCATCGCAGGTCCAGGAAGATAGCGGTTGACCTGCAGGACGGTTGGCATGCCGTACATGGATACCGGCGAGGGTGACAACGACGGCGGCCACGGTGGTATCCTGGGGGGAGGCGGGAAGGCAGATGACGTACCGGGGCACACGGCCCCTACCGCCGCGACCGCAGAGAACGGCGGGCAGCCGCCGGCAGCGGTTGCGCCTGCGAAAGCCACAGAGCCATCGACAGCTGCTGTAGCTGGGGAAATGACCATTGCGAAGGCACGGACGGCCCTCTCAGAGCGCATAGCGCAGCTGGAGCGGCAGTGGGGCGGCTGTACCGCCTCTGCTTCCGCCGGGTCGTATAGCTGCCATCGACCCCGCAAGACGCTGGCCCAGATGAACCAGGTGCTGACTTCATCTTCTCGTACAACAATACATCTCAACAAAACCCCACACATAAATCAGAATTGATACTTCGGACGGCCCACACATGATCTGACGGTCAATAGGCCGCCCAGCGGAGCAGCTGTTGCGGAATGGACTCTTAAAACCCTAAAACCCTAACACGCCAGAAACCACGTGTATCCCGGCGCAGGATGGATACCGCTGTTTGCACTATTGGAATCATGGCATATGGGGCTATTACAAGCAACCATGCGAGGATGGTGAAGGGGTTTTGGTGGGGACCAACGATGGCCACGTGGCATGGCCTTGGGCTCGTGTGTTCCATACCATCGCTGATGCCTTATGTGCATACCTGTAAATACGTATGTACGTATGTATGTATGTGTGGGCCAACTACAGCCTCCTCTCTGCTGGTACGGTAAGCAGCTCAGCACCGTGCCTCTCTCCCATCCGCCTCAGGAGGCTGTGTCGTACATGCGGTCTGGCGACCCACTTGCCGCCGCCGCTGCGCTGACGCTGCTGATGCGCACCTGCCGTACAAGCCGCCTGACGCACCGCGACCTGGCGGTGGCTCGTGCCAACCTGGCGGCGGCGCTGCTGGCGGCAGGCCTGGCGGAGGAGGTGCTGGCGGAGGTTGAGCCGCTCGTGGCGGAGCTGGAGGCGCGGCCGCCGGGGTGAGCTGCGTACGGCAGTACTGTGACAGATTGTTGCCGTACCAGTACAGGACGCGTTTGCAGCGGCCGCACTTGTGGCGGATGTGGGTGTTTGTATCCGCGAGCGACCCTTCTGTATGTACCACCGAGATCAGCGGCGGGGGGTTAGTGTCTATCCTTGCTAAGTTTTACCGTCCTAGTGCAGGGTCCGACTTATTGTGACCAATCCAAGACGTGGCGACAGCCATGTTGTGGTGAGCGTTAAGCCTTCCCACTTCCTCCACCGCTTCTACACAGTTCCATTTATCACCCCGCAAAGTGTGTCATTTTCCTTAATGACATATCAGGTGCAAGTGAACCGGATCGTGACTTTTTCAAGGGTGCTACGTACGACATCTGTACACTCGTTCGCCGCATGCCGTACGCAACATCAAGCACCGTCATCACCACCGTATTACCCCCCCCCAGGCTGCTGGACGCCCCCGCCCGGCGCTCACTCATCCGGGGTCTGCTGCACCGTGGTAAGGCGCTCTCAGCTCTGGGCCGCCACTCCGCCGCCATGGCCTCCCTGGAGCGAGGACTGGCCCTGGAGCCCCACCACCCGGAGTTGAGGAAGGAGCTGGATGTTGTGGGGCGGGCGCTGATGAAGCAGCTCATGGCGGGTGGGTGACTGAGTGGATGGCGACGGGGTGGCGGTGTGTTGTGGCGCGGTGTAACCCCACTACTTGGTGGTCAGGAGGCTGGGCGGGCTGTTCAGGGTGACGTGGGACCCCGACCAACCCCTGTCGGGCAGTTTGTTTGTGTGTGTGTGTGTGTGTGTGTGTGCCCAACCAACTAACCAACCAACCAATTAAGTAAATGACTGGAAACTGCCAACTGCGGAGCTTGATGGCATCGACGTGGCCCCAGGTTGCTGTACGGAGACTCTCGCGCTCCCCGCACCCGAGCCGCGGCCGCTGGCGCTGTCGTACAGCGGCCCTGCCGCCAACGGGGCTGCGCTGCCCGGTATCTCCGGTGGCCCCAATGCGGTGGCTCTTCAGCTGCGTTGGGAGGAGCTGCTACCGGCCCGCCTGCTGCTACCGCGAGCTGCTGAGGTGGACGACCGTACACGGGACACCTACAACTTCGTCACCATTGAGGTTCGTACGACAATACCACGCCTCCTCGGGCACCGGATTTTGCAGTACTGATCAAATATTTGTGCACGGTAAATAGCCCTCCTGTGCTGGACCCCCCCTTCCTCTCTCCATTTCCCGGTCCAGACCGATCTCCGCATGCCTAAACGCTGCCTGCGAGGGCTACACGACGACTCTCGCATGGCTGCCGTACGTGAGGCAGTACAAGCCGCCGTGGCGGCGGCGCGCTACGGGGCCGGCGGTATGGAAGGCGGCGATGAGCGGGACGTCCGAGTACTGCTGCTGGGCTCGTGTGCGGGACTACTGGGGCTGGTGGCGCTGCGGGCGGGTGCGCTCCACGTGACGTGTGTCGAGAGGTACGGCGAAAACGGCAGTAGCAGCGCGTGTTTCTCTGCGAGGTGGGTGTCTGCAGTAGGGTTTTTGAAGCAGCAGCGTAAAGTGCTGGCCCTCACGAGGGCGGCGGCAGTGAAGGACGCGGAGGAGCCGCGGAGGAGGAGGGGGAGGCGGGGAAGCCAAGGGACCGGCAGCCAGCTCTGCAGGGGCCTGCGTTTGTGGCATTGTTGGTGGCTAGAAACTCCAGGCCAAAAAGGCCTGCAGGGTAGCGGCAGTGGTGGGTGTGGGGATGCATCTACCCATTGGAGACGTCCGAAATGGAGCCCCGCGGCCATGAGACACCCTCCGCTGTGTGGCCAGTATCAACGGATTCTGACACCGACGCCGGGGGAAACAGCCTCGCCCGACCATTCCCGCGCAAAGCCCACCACACGCACCGACCCCCGGGTCACACTGCCGCCTCCTCTTAGGACCCCAGCCATCCGCCTCCACCGTCATTCCGCGACCCCGGCTCAGGTGGCTTTACCTGGCCTCCGCTGCGGGTGAGGTGCTGGCAGGGTCTGGTGTAGCCCCCGAGCGCTACCGGGTGGTGTACCGGCGGCCCACTGAGCTGCAGCTGAAGGGGGACGTGCCAGTTTGCTGCAACGTGGTGGTGAGATACACAAGGGGGGGAGGCGGACGGGAGCTGGGGGAGGGGAGGGAGGCGAGTTTTCTCTCCCGCGCAGTCACTGAAGCAGCACCACCATGGGTGTTCAGGACCCGGTGCTGCCTCACTGTGCAAGTCCACGTGAATCTTTTGTAGCAGCCGCGGTACCGTTCAGTACGGCACCTTAAGCTGCCGTACCTGAGTCGCCGTTGTGGCGGACCATTCCAGGTCGCCACCGAGCTCCTCGATGACGGACTTCTCACCTGCGGGCTGCTGCCGGCTGTACGGCATGCAGCGGCTGCGGGCCTTATCACGCGCGACGCTGTAGTGGTGCCGGCAGCGGCGACGGTGTGGCTCCAGGCGGTGCAGGTCTCGGGTCCGCCGCCCCGGAAGACGGGCGGCCTGGACCTGCGCACGCTGGATCGATACAGGTAAGGCAGCAACGCTTTTCACGACATAGAGACACCACGACCGCTACAATCTCCAATGACAAGGTCAGCAACTCCTCGAGCCGTGGGGCGTGGGCCATCCTCTCCTGTGCATACTTTGCATAGCTAGCAAGCGCCGGGTAGCGCACCACGTCAGGATTTATGGCGTCACCATGGCGATGGTCTCATGATTAAGTTCAATACCTCCAAATTCTTATGGCAGCGCCGTCGAAACCGAGAGCACATGTACGACACTAAAGCAGGCGTCCGACTCATGACACGTCCAGGTTTCAAGTCTTCGCGCTCCTTGCTCGAGTTGCACTAATGGCAACCGTTAGTGATTCCTTGCTCACGTAGACGTATCTTGGTCTAGCCATCCACTCTTGGGAGCCATCTCGCCCCTCATGCCTGCCTGTCGGCCTGGTGCAGGTGGTGGCCCTCCCCAAGCCTGGGTAGGCCCCTGGCGGACGGAGCCTACACACCACTATCGGAGCCCAAGGTGCGTGAAGTGACAGGACAGGACAGGACTGCCTCAGCCAGTGAGCAAATTGCCGTGACGCCACAGTCGTCAGCATCGGGGCAGTGGCTAAGGCTGCGGGGCATTGTGCTATGGGCTGAAAGGCGTGTGTGAGTTGGGACGCGGCCGCCCCGGAAGGCATTTGGCTGCGGTCCATGGGGCCGCAATGCGCGGTGAATGTTTTCATTCCCTTGATGAAGCTTGCTGTGGAATGGAAGGTGTTTCCTTGATAGCGTTATTTCCCCGTCTGCTTACGGGGTTCCTTTGCCAGGAGGCCTGGCACTTTGACCTCATGGAGTCAACCAACTCCATCCAAGCTCGAACACTGGACCTGGAGCTCCAAGTCGCGGGCCGATTCAATGCCGTGTTGTACTGGTATGATGTACGGCTGTACGGTGACATACGGCTTCTGACACATGAGCCAGCTGCGCCGCAGCAGCGGGCCTCGAACCTCGATGCTGGAGGTGACGGTGACGATGATGATGACGATGATGATAGTAATAATGGAGACAATGAAGAGGGTGATTGGGAGGCGGCGGCTGGGGCCGTTGCGGCCCGGTTGCCTACCGCGGCAGAGGAGCCACCGCCGAGTCCAGGAGCTCCAGTGGTGGCGGTTGCTGCTGGCAGGGACGACTGTCCCGTGGGTCAGTCCGTGAGGCCGCGGACCCTGCAAGCCGCCGTGCACTGGCTGCCGGGTCCTATCCTCGTTCAGTCGGGAGACGTTCTGCCGCTGACGGTGTGCCACAACACCGTCGCAATGCGGTTCGAGGTGAGTGCGTTTCGCAGTACGGCAGGAGTACGGGTTTATGGGGTCGCTCATCTTTTTGTGACCGATGAACACCGTCGTTGAGGGGCGACAAGGAACCTTTACCACCCGGGGCTGAACAAGCGCTGTTAGTGGAGCGGTTACGTGCCTGGTCTCTGCTATTAATGATTGAGATGCAAGTCCCTGCGCTCCGCCAGCCGCCCCTTGCCTTTGTACGGATGTATACCTACTGCACCGCACGTCCTCCGCTTCCTCTCCTGCACCTCCAGCCTCCGCTCATCTTGCTCGAATTCACCCCCTCAGGTCCTCACTGCCGACTACCCGTGGCTGGTGGTGCGGGACCCCAGCCTGCCCCCCGTGCTGTGGAGCTCCCTGGCGGACACGCGGAGGCTGGCGGCGTACCGGAGGGCCATTGGGCGAGCCGTGGAGCGGCTGCGGGGTGCAGGTAGGGGTAGGGGATGCCAGGGTGTGACTACGTACTGCCCGCTGCAAATGTTCAGTAAACGGTATTCATGTGCCGTCCTGGTTTTTTAACAAAGCATGGCATATACGAACACAACAGGTGTCCTTTTGGACAGACTTAGGCTGCTGGCCCTTGGGCCCCTCGAGGCTCGTAGGGGCCCGTTATACTTTCCAACGGTAAAGCATTTAAAAGGTGTAACACACATATATTATTCACACATGCACACACATGCACACACACACGCATATGCAGCAGGTTTTGATCTAAAGCGATCGAAGCTTTGGACAGCCATCATAGTGTTCCTCTGAATTCGTGTGAGATGTGGCCGGACGTCAGTACGGCACTGTGATGGTGCTCTTCGCCGCTGCAGCTACTGTGTTGGCAGTGTCTAATTCTATGCTTTCAGGTACCGTTTACGGGCTTGGTGTCGGGTTGCGTTTCTGGAGCAGACATTTTGCAGCCTAAAAACGTGTTACCATCCAACATGCACTGGAATTGTTCTCTGCGATGCACGCCGGCAGAACCGCGCATGTATGTCAGTCGGTCAGCATATAGCTGCCAATGAACACACCACCCTGCACACGCATCCGCATCCGCACCTGGCCCTGTCCCTGTACCTGCTCCTCTCCTGATCGCCTGCGTACACGTGAGGACAACCTTCCAGTCCCGCTCCTCACCGTTCCCTCCTTAACAGGCTGCCCGGTCGTGGCTCTGGATGTGGGCGCGGGCAGTGTGGCCCTGGCCCTGGCCGCAGCCGCTGCCGGAGCCGACAGTGTGGTGGCTGCGGAGGTGCACCCTGAGCTGGTGGCTGCGGCGCGGCGATGCGCGGCGGAGAACGGCCTGGGCCATAAGGTCATACGCTCACGTGCTCACGTATTTGGTCAAGGGTTGTATGTGTGTCAGGCTGGGTGTAGCACCATCCTCGGGGGGTGGGACACAGCTCACGAGGTGCCCACCATCACCACCACTTTCAGCTCCAGCTCATTGCAATCTCCCGGTCCGAGTTCGGAACGCCTGTTGAAGCACTGCCACATCCACGCTGCTGCACACCTGTCCGGCCGGCGCCTCCCCACGATGGGTGTGTGTGCGAGTCTGTGGACGCTAGGTGCAGCAAACGTGACTGACAAAAGACAACATTCTTTTGTATCCGCTGTCATGCAATTCATATTCGGCATGGAGGGATGGAGGGACGAAGAGGCGGCTGAAGTGGTGGTGCCCCTGGTAAAGGCACATAGCATACTTGGCAAGGACGTCTCACCGTAGGTGCCTGCCACGTGTATATTCGTATTAGTACTGTTACAGAGTAGGAGGCTTCTGGGTCATTTGAACACATTGTCAGTTCTACGATTTATCACACCTTACAGCACCATCCACAATTACCACACTGTACTACGCCATACGAACTGGACGTGTATATGGCTGTCAGCCTGCTCATTCCCCAGTGTGCAAATTGTTTTCCGCCTGGCCATGCGGGCAGCCGGCAACCCCTCTCCCCGGTTACCTACCTGCATGAGACGGCTCCTGGACCTCCTCGTCTCTCCGATGTCTTATCGGTGACTGTACACCGCCCAACTGGCCCTTTTTCCCTCCTTCCTTTCCCTCACAACATACCACAACCGAACCATTGGTTGTGAAAGGTCGCATTGGTTCCGGGTGACGTGGGAGAGATCGTACGGGGACGAGATCTACCGTACAGTGGTGCCAACCTCATCATATTCGACCTGTTCGATGCCGGTGAGGCCTCACTGATTGGGACAGTTGGGGGGGGCTGGCTATGGAAAGAACCTCATTACGCAGCACCCGGGTAACAGACACCAGCTGGTGGTCCTAGGCAGGGTGCAGGGGCGGCTGCGCGCCACCTGGCGGTCCCACGGGACGATGTGAGGATCTGTCACGGTGTACTGGGTGGGCTCCTTTCAGTTTCACGCCGGTTTTAAGGCGCTCCGAAGCCGTAGGAACTTTTGGGAGTTGAATCACGTGACGTGTCTATGTGTGTACAAATAATTGCTGTTGCAGCGGCCCTACAGGGGATTGTTGTTGTTGTTGCAGCGGGCTACCAGGTTTCTATATGGAATGTGGGCCACTCATTAATCCTCTCGCACCCAGTTGGAGGGCGCGCTTTGGCCCCAGATCCCTTGGCTGCCGTTCAGCCTGTCCCGTATGTTGTACCGGGGATATGACGCGGTGTGTACCTTGTGAACCCTCACATGCGCTCTGCTGGTGCTTCCATGCAACCATGCATCCATCCGTCCAAGGTGATGCATGGCGCGGATCTCTGTATGATGCCTGCATGTACGACAGGACTGCTAGGTCACCGGGCACTGGCGACTCTGGAGTGTGTGAAGCGGCGGCTCGCGGGCGGAGGGGTGTGGCGGGCGGCAGGGCCCGAGCGGTGGGAAACACCCAAGCCGCAACAAGGGGAGAAACAGACGCAGAAGCAGCAAGAGGAGCAGGCGAAGGAGCAGGAGGTGGATAGAGTTCTCGGCAGCACACGGCCAAGCGGCGGTGACGACAGCAGCGGCAAGGTCATAGTCATACCAGCTGCAGCTCGCGTGTGGGCCGTGGGCCTGGAGCTGCTTACTCGGCGGGTGTGCGGGGAAGACATGTCACCCTTGAACAAGTACAGGTCCGCGTGCCTCGATGGGGATGTTGAGGGGCGAGGTGGCTTGGTGTGACGGTCCGCACATGTCTTAGAGCTGCACCCTGATTTGGGGAGGACTGTCCCCGCCTTGGGGCTGTTATCCCCCAGGGAAGGCGGGGACGAGGCTAGCAGAGGTGGACCGGACCCTGCGAGGGGGTAGCAGGATAAGGTGGGGCACGTTCGGGTGGGAACCCTGGAGGCCAGAGCTGACGTGGAGCAGGGCCGTGTCCGCAGGGACCTAGGCTAGATCTATTGCTGAAGAGGGTGTTGCATCAAGTTACATCCGGGAAGGCCGCTTTCCAGGTGCGTAAGCTGCTGGTTAGGGTTGGAAATTGTAAGGAGCCGCATCTCCTTAGACCATCGAACCCCCACAGCTGCAAGCTTTGATGGTAAAGTGCGTAAGTTGCCCCCGGTTGTGCCCCTGGGTTTCTCTGTGGCAGAATCCTTTGAGTCGGTGATGGCAAGGGATGATATTGATCTTACCGGACCGCAGGTGGGACGACAAGTACGAAGCAGTGCGGCTTCAGGACATGCCGTACCGGCAGCTTACCGTTCCTGTCCGAGTATTGAACTTTGATTTCGCCCAGCCACCAGTTGATGGTATTAGAGGAGGAGGAGGAGGAGGAGGAGGAGGGGGCGATGCTGCGGTTTATCCGTCGGTTGCCCGCGTGGAGGCGGAGATCATCGCCAAGGGTGCGTGGAGTTGCCTTTTCGGCAGCATAAACCTCCTACAGTGCGATGAAGGTTATTTTGTAGGGCAAAACATAAAGCATGTTCCTCGCAGCTTTCAGTTAGCTCAGCCACCAGAGAGCGGTGCTGGTAAGTTCCAGGTCGGTCCCGGGACAATGGCCGCGTCTAGCCTGCAAACCCACCCAGGTATCTCCCTCAGAGAGTTCCCGGTCACAAGGAAATCCCTCTGCACTGTTTTGCTTTGCTTGCTTGATTTTGGCATGTCTGCAGGGGTGCTGAACGCCGTGGCGTTTTGGTACGACCTCCAAATGGACGAGGAATCAGAGGAGCAAGTCTCCAACATGCCCCCCGGCTTATTCTCAACGGCGGCCGCCGCCGCCGCCGCCGCGGCAGCAGCAGCAGCGACCCCTGCTGCAGCGGGAGCAGCAGCTCCGGCATCCGAAAGGATCATCAGCGCCACCGGCGCAGGCTACTGCTACAGCCGTCGCTACAGCCGCCGCTGCCAGGCGTTGCAGTACCTGGACTGCGCGGTGCCGGTTGCACCGGGTGTCGATGACAGCAGCGGCGGCGGTTCAGGTTTCCGTACAGTCGTACTAACTGCGCAGCGGTCAGCGACAGGCATCCGATTCGCCTTGCGGCCTGGTGTCGGTCAAGTGCCAGTTCCCCGCCCGCCTTTCAAAGTGGGTTGTTGTTGCCCGCAGTCGTGGCATGTGTGCACGTGCGTTGTTGGCTTGCGTGGTTAGCTCACTATCCTCTGTCGCAGTCACAGTGAGCAGTTGGTACGGAAAGGCATTTCCGAGCGCATTGGATCGCTGGGTGGGCAGAGGTCAGGCAAGGTACCTGCCTCCTATACTTTACCTGTACGGCATTCCGTCCCCAATGCTCTTCCTCACATCTTCCGATTCGCTGCCCTCAGGTCGAGTGGGGCGGGGGGGTCAGCATCGAGAACCCTCACGTTCAGCGTGCACGCTACTGCCAGCTGCTGGTTTCGGAATGGCTACAGCGCCTGCCGCGCATCGGTAGCGGCGGCGGCGGCGGCAGCGCCACCTCCATTACTACCGACCTGGCGCCGCTGTGGCGTCACTGCGGCAGCCTGGCGCTGGATGCTGTCGTGCTGGCGGAGGTGACCCACCGGCTGACATTGCTGGAGCGGCTGTACGGCAGGGCCACCGCTGGCGGCGCGGGACTGGGTTCGGACGGCAGGGAGGTGGCGGCGGCGGTGGGGATGGCGGCGGGAGAGAATGTGGATAGAGAGGGAGACGGGGAGACGCGTGTGGGGCTGGTGAGGCCGGAGGATGTGAGTCTGGGACTGCCGGTTGTTTGGTTCTGATGCTAGATGGGCCCTACCTCCTCCTCCTCATTATCATCATCAACACCGTCATGGGCCAAACCTCGAAATATATTTATTGAGCGTGTAGGGCCGCCTTCTGCGGCAAAGCATTCTAATTGCCAAAGTGGCCGGATAAGGTGTATGGGGTGGGCTGAGCATGTTTTCACTCTTACACGAGGCGGTGGTACTTATTCGCAACGTCGTTGATGCCCGCTTACGATGGCCACGTGCGCCTTCAGGCCAAGGCGGAGGGAGCGGTGCCGCGAAATGCTATATGATCAAAAACATAGTTTCATGCCCAACGCTTAACGTTGTAATGTTCGGCTTACTTACAGAACTCGGCCGATTTCGGCAGTGACTGCGACGCCCATTCACCTGCATATACCATATAAAATGAAAGGCCGAATGCCTCGTTACTAGTTTGCCTAGCCATCCCCTGGCGCGGCCCATGGGACAGGTGGAGGAACTGACCGGACAGCTCATTCACCGCGACGTTGACAGTGTATGCCATACGTAAAAAGTGGCAGATTTCGAATTGATCAGTTTTGCATGGAATGACGTAGCTGTTGAAATGGATCTGCAGGCTACCCTAGGACTAACGAACGCCGTGGAACTTAACAGTCTTCAACTGTTCCCACCATTATACTCTGTGGATAGACAGTAAAACTCTGTTCCGTGTCATAAGACTTGCACTTTACCTTCGGTCTTAAGTAGGTTTTGGAAGTTTGTCGTTCGTTGCACAAGGCGGCGCCGCTCCCGTTATGTTGCCGAGAAGTTATCAATTGAGCTAGGCATCTAACACAAGCTTAATTGAGAATACTCTATTTATAAGCTGGGTATTTTTGCGGCGATCGCCCCAATATTAGGGCCATGCCGGCAGCGGCGGAACAACTGCAGCTAAAGGCCACATACCGGCCGACAGCTAAGCTGCAAGTATTTTACACGGGAGGTGCCGCTCGGCTCACGCGGGATGGAAAGCTGCTGGCATGCTCGTGCTCCGATGAAGTCAAGGTGCGCAGAGTGTGCTATTCCGCTTTGTGTGGGACCTCAGAACGATATTTAAAACAAGCACGCACTTTTTATGTTTGCTTGCCACTCTTCGTCGCCTCATCTTGTCCGCCCCTTCCCCCGACGATGTCCCCTGCAGATTGTGGAGTTTACCACGGGAGCTGTCCTTCGTTCCATCAAGCCGGTGAGAACCCCTCCCCGTGGAACTCAGGGATGCAGTAAGATACCCCACTGCATGCGGAGCCGCTAGGGGTGCGACCTGCTCTGCACTGGGCTGATTTGGGTTTACCGTGCCCTTGCCGTGTCGGAGGGCACACAGGCGGGTCCCCCCTTCGTTTTCGGCGAGGTCCGCACCCCCCTCCCACACTGTCACACTCCCACCCTCGTCCCTCTTTGCTGGAGGGTCCCTGCCTGCTTACCTGTCAGCAATGGAGTACCCTGCCCTGTCCTTCCCGGTCAAGTCTCCATGGATTGGTGTGCTTTCCGCCCCTTCCTGCCGCTCCCGCCTTTCAGCTGCCTTTGTGCCGCTGATCGGTCTGAGCTCCCCCCCTTGCTACCGCACCGCCTCTGCATATTGTCCCACCTGTGCTCGTACTCTTCCCGCACACCCCCGGAGGGCAGGACGGTGAGGCGGTTACCGCGCTGGCCGTCAGCCCGGACTGTCGTACACTGGTCGTCGCGACGCGTTCTCTTTATGTCCGTGTGTACGACATGACGACCGGCGCACAGCTGCGGAACTGGAGGGGACATAAGGCCCCGGTGGCAGATCTTGCCATCGACGCTTCGGGAGGCTACGTGGCTACGGCCTCCGCGGATCGCTCTGTCAAGGTACGACTGGCGGTTGGTAGCCTGTGACGGTTGGTAACCGGTTGTTAAGGCAGTTGACTTTATCGGCGTCGCGTACGGGGTCCAAGAGGTCGCATGATGCCCCCCCGCACACGTTTACTTTCCCGCCCACACTGAACGAGGTCGCCGCTGGTGCCGCTCACCCCGCGCTGGTGGGTTGTTCACCCCCACTGCTCGCCGCTCCTCCCCGCTGCAGGTTTGGGACATTGCGGGTGGGTTTTGCACGCATCACTTCCCCGGGGGTCACGGCGGGGTGGTGCTGCGGGCCATGTTCCACCCCAAGAACCTGCAGCTCTTCACGGCGGGGGATGACGGCTCCGTGAGGGTGTGGGATCTGGTGGACAAGAGCTGCGTGTACGACCTGAAGGTACGACATAAGGCCTAGCTGCCTGAAGGCGCGGTCCCATTGGACGTGATTACGCGATATTTGGGTTTGGGGAGGTTGTTGGTTGGGGGGTGTGAGGGAGTGAGGGGGACTTGGAGGACGGCCACGATAGAGCTGGGGTCTGAGATCGGCTGGCCAGGGGGCGGTACTGGGAGGGTACTCCTCCTCCTCCTCCCCCCCCCCTTCTCCCCCCTCCTGTGTTCCTGTAGCTTCACCGCGCCGCGTCATTCCCCATCATGTGAGGGGGCTGTTACCATTTTGCTTGTGTTTCTAAGGAGGCCCCTGTTCACACTTGCACACATCACTCCGCTGCACTCACGCACCAGGGAATCAGCTGCGTGCGCCCAGAGCCACCTGCCGCGCACGGCACCTGACACCCCCCAGGTTGCCTTTCGCGAGGTCCCCCGCCCCCCCCTCTTCTTGGGACAGGAACTGCGTCGGCAGTTGACTCTTTTTTGCCTTACACGATTTCCCTCCCTCTGCCCCTGCAGTCCCACTTCAGCGCGGTCACCTCTCTGGCTTTGTCCCCGGACGGCTGGCTGCTGCTGACCGCGGGGAGGGACAAGGTGGTGGTGGTGTGGGACCTGCGCAGGTGTGTGGGGGGAGAGATGGGTGGGGGCTGCCGTCCCGGGAGGGGTGAGGGGAGGGTTGGAGAGAGGGAGAGTACGGCTTAGTACAAATAATGTCCATGGGGATGTGGAGTCCTTAGTAGGGTGAGAGCGGAAGATCAAAATCCCCCGGACGAGACACGGGTATTGGCGCGCAGCTGTCAGCACCGCAGATCATACGGACCAATAAATAACCCCTGCCCCGTGCACACCCCCGCCCCACCCGGGGGCCCCATTTGCGAATAAAAATAAATACCCACCATTCATATCCACGATTCCACATTTCAAGGATTCACACTAGAAGCTTTGCAGTTGACACCTGCCAGATTGCGCATGTGTCCCGGGCCCCTGACATCCCCTCAGCGGCAGCAAGGTGGCCACCGTGCCTGTGTATGAGGCGGTGGAGGGGTTGGTGGTGCTGCCGCTGGGGGCGCCCTTCCCTGGAGTGCCCAGACATGCGGTGGACACCGCGGCGCTTATCAAGGTGGGAGCTGGGGGGGGCCCACCCAGGGGGGTGACGGGTCGTATGTGGGGAATGGATACGTGGGAGGAGGGGGGAAAGAGCCATATAGCCTGCTTGCTTATAAGTCGCCCGCACCAAGCTCCTTGGGCCAAGCCATTGCCAGCCCCTCATCCTCGTCATGTACGTGTGTATGTACGTGTGTGTGCGGCCCAAGGAGAGGTCTTCGCGGCCCCCACCCTCTTCCGGCGGCCCCCTCTGCTACTGGCTTCTCCCCCGGTCCCCGCGGGCCTCTTGTCCGAGCTGCCGGTGTCTCCGCCCCCCTCCCCGCCCCCCTCACCCCCTCCAGGGCGCCAAGAAGGTGGTGCACTTCGCCACAGCCGGCGAGAAGGGCGCCATCAAGTGAGTGAGGAAGGGGTGGGACGGGATAGGAGGGGGGACTTGGCGGGATGGGGATGGAGTGAGGAGCGGCGGAGGCGTCGGCGGGATGACAGCCCCCTGCCGCTCCAGGGCCGCGGTGCTCATGGTAGTATCGGATCAGAGCACCATAACGCGTAAGTGTGTACATGTGTGTATACCTGGTCCGTCTTTGTGATCTTCAGATGATGTTCAGATATACGTATTGTCCGGATGATCTTTGCAGCGGAAGCGGCGCCAGGCTGGGCCCCTCCTCGGCCCCCCGTCCCACCCCCCCACCCGTCTTTCCTCCAGGTTGTGGCGTAGCGACACGGGTTCTTGCGTGAGCGAGGTGGCCCCGGAGGTGGCGGTGGCGGGCAGTGCCGCGTGCGAGCTGACCGACCTGGCGCTGCTGCCGGCGGGGGCGGCGGGGGCGGCCTCCGCGGGCTCGGCACTGGGGCCCGGGCTGCTGGCGGCCACTGCGGATGCCAGACTGCTGTTCTACACCCCCCAGGTGGGGACTGCAAGACGGGGGTGGGTGCGGGTGGGGATGGGATAACTGGTCGCCGCCTTCCCCTCGTCACCTTGCCTGCCCTCATCCCTATGTGGGTGGATGAGAGGGGCCATGTCCGAGGAAGTAGTTCCCTCGGAGTTCCATGACCTCTCCTCACCCCCACCTCCCCGTGTACCACCTGGCGCCCCACACTTCCCCCGGCCCTCACCGCCCCCTCTGGACTCGCACCCATCGACTGCCGCGTCACCTGCTATGTCCGTGCCTGCCCCCACCTCCCCACCTCCCCCCGCCTCACTCAGGACGTGGGGGGCAACCCCCGGCTGGTGCTGTCCAGGCAGCTGGTGGGGAACCAAGACCAGGTGCGTGTGGCGGGTGTGAGACGTGTCATGGCGGGGATGTAGGGCCGGACGACCGGAAGGGGTAGGGGTAGGGTGGTGCTCATAGGGTCCGGGTCGGAGGGTGCGGATGGCGGACACGTAATCGCAGGCAGAGCAATACAGTAGTGCGCGCCGTACCACGTCATGTTACGCCGTACACGTGCCACATTTTGGTTCCCCTCCGTTCCTCTCATCACCTGTTGTACCACGTCATGTCGTACGCTCAGGTGACTGACCTGCGTTTCGTGGGACCACCTGCCGAGCCCTCCTTGCTGGCGGTGGCTACGAACAGCGAGACTGTACGACTATACGGCATTTCCAATCTGAGCTGCGCCGCCTCTTTGGTGGGCCACCGGGACATCGTGCTGTGTTTAGACGGAGGAGCCGCCACGGGGGGTGAGCGGGTTCAGGCCGGCAGCTTGCACTTGCGAAAATCTGGCCCTCTTTCCGGCTGCGCAATTATTTGTTTGCTGCATGTGGCGCCCGCGCCCGTGGAATGTGCTGGACGGCTCTGCACCTCCCACGCCCCAACGGACGCCTCTCCCCCGCAACAGCCCCTGCCCTCCCTGGTTGCCGATGTTACCAAGCGCCTGGCTTTGAAGTACCCTAGCAAGCCCTCCACTCTTCCCCCGGCCCTGGCGTCGCTTCCCCACAGGACCAAACACTTCCCTTGCCTGCCTTACACCTTAACCGCATGGTCGTCGTGTTGGTTTCGTTGCGCGTCCCCGCCGTCCCTACGACTATTATTCCCTCCCCTGCCCCCCTCTCTATCAGTGGAATCCTAGTTGTTTTGCAAGTATTTCTATTTTCTAATTCCCCCCTTTCCCCTCCCCCTCCCGCGCCCCCGCTGTCCAGCCCATCCCCCGCTGCTGGCTAGTGGCTCTAAGGACCACGAGATCCGCGTGTGGGAGGCCGCCAGTGGCCGCTGCCTGGGAGTGGGGGTGGGGCATGTGGGGGCGGTCAACGGAGTGGCCATGGCGCGGAAGTGAGCGGAAGGGGGAGGAGGGGGGGGGACTGGGGGGGACGGGGAGGGGGTTCCTTAAACGGGCTTGTGGATGGGCTTCTGGGGTGAACGGGCCCTCAGGCTGGTGTTCAGGGGGGTTGTACGACAGGAAGGAGATGTGTGTATATGTATGTGTGTTGAGGGGCGCGTAGGGGAATGGAGCGGAAAGGGATTATGGAGACGTGGTGAGGCTTTGGAAGCGGGGACGGAGGGAGGGAGGGAGCCATGGCAATCTATGCCGCAGTAGTTTGTGTTTATGTCGGGGGCCGAGGATGATCCGGCTTATCACTTTCCTTTTCCCGAAGCTGAGGGACCTGTACGGCACCCTACGCGGAGAAACAGCCCGGACTGAGGCACCTGTACAGCACAGCAGGCACCACTAGTGCGGCATGTACGTATTACAAACCTACCCGCATTACAAACCAACCCACCCCTGATGTCGGCCAACTGGGAGGTGCCCTCTGCCTCAGTGCATGCGGGCTGATTGGGGACTGTGGTACGTGCTATCATCATCTTAGACTGATGATGTTCTAGTCATCTTCTAAGATTTTACGTGCATGAGGAAATCTGCAGATTGCAGCAGTCACCCGTCCCCACCCACGACACGACCACCCTCCGCCACCCACCCGTCCGCCCAGGACGATCCGTAATGCCCTTTTAAAATCCTTTTCCCGAAGCTGAGGGGCGGTACAGCCCCGGGGCTGAGGCCTGGCAATTATATCTGAGGCGAGCAATTATATCTGAGGGGAACCGGTGGCCGTGTGTGTGTATTGGTGGGCGGGCCGTGAGGTGCTCCGATTGCCCTGCGGAGGTCCACACCTGCCCGCTGCAGCAGCAGTAGCGACCGCGTCTAGCCCGCCAATATGGCTACGTTGAGGCATCTGAGGCTGTACGATACTAACCGTATTAACCAACCAGACAGACAGACAGACTTCCCTTCCGTCGGACCGCAGGGGCCCCACCATCCCATCCACCTGCCTTGGTGGTCACACTCTCCGACTCGTCTTCCATGTGATCAGTTTCTTCACCCCCACGCGCCCGCCCCCTTCCCTCCTCCTCCATCGAGCAGGAGCTCGCGGTTTCTGGTGTCCGTGGGAGCTGACAAGCTTATCAAAGTGTGGGATATTGCTCCCGCAGTTGCCCTGCTAACGAACTCACCAACCGCCAACGGCGGTGCCGCGGCGACCAAGAAACGCAAGGCGGCGGATTCAGCTGCCGGCGAGGCAGCGGCGACGGCGGTGGCGGCCACCGGGCCGCTACAGCTGCGCACGATTGCGGCTGTAGCAGGCCACGATAAGGATATCAATGCAGTGGCGGTTGCACCTAACGACCAGTTGGTTGCAACTGCCAGCCAGGACCGGACAGTTCGCGTGTGGTCGTTACCGGATCTGGTGCAGGTACGACAAACCTCTCTCTACCTCCCTTGCTCATCTTATGTTTAGCGAACGCGTCCATGCTGCACTGGTTTCATATCGGCGTGCATATTACCTGATTGACTGACCTCCTTCAAACCATATCAGTGCTCGCAACATGATGTTCTGGATATTCCAAAGGGGCATCGTGCCCTGCTTTGCAGAACAGATGCAACAGTGTACACGGGTCATTGCTGTTTTTACTGCACATCCGGACGTCGTCGTACGTTACGGCCACAGGTGAAGGTTTTGCGGGGTCACAAGCGCGGCGTGTGGACGGTGGAGTTTGCCCCTCTGGAGCGCGCACTACTGACGGCTTCAGGTAGGATGCTGTACGTTACGGCATTGTAGTGCCCTGTGGCCGCTGCAAACCATCCCTTCCATCCGCTTTCGCTCCTCTCCCTCCTGCCGCCTCCTTTTGCAAAGAATTCCTCTTCTGCCTCCCCCATCCTCTCTCCCCTCCTTCCCTCCCTCCCCCCTTTCCTCTTGACGGCGGCAGTTCGCTCCGTGTTTCCTTGCATATGATTCCCTTTCTTCCTCCCGGCTCCCCCGCTTGCGCCCCTGCCCCCCTCAGGCGACAAGACCATCAAGCTGTGGTCCCTGACTGACGGCAGCTGCATGCGGACCCTGGAGGGGCACACCGCGTCAGTGCTGAGGGCCACCTTCCTGACCGGGGGAACACAGGTACACATAGCAGGTGCTGGTCGCCAAGGACGTGTGTGTACGGGACGTGTGGACGTGCGTGTTTGGAGCAGTGCATCTCGCTTGTTTGGGTCCGGCGTGCACGTGCCTACGTGGATGGCCCTTCATCACTAGATGTACTGCACTCCGGGACCCGCGTCGCTCCTCCCTGGACCCCGCGGGTGGGGCCATTCCACCCTGCACGCAGGGAGCAGCTGTCGTTTGAGCAACCCCACCCCTTGGCAGTGATGTCCCTGTGGCGGTGGTGATAGTGCGGTCCATGTGCGGATGCCTAGACGCCCTAGATGCTCGCAAACCCTTCGAGCGCGGCCTGACCTTGTCGGTATGTCCGTATGCATGTCACAGACTGGTGCATCAGTAAGTGAAACCCCAAACCCTAGCGTGTGCCAGCTGATGTACATGTTTGTGTTGGAAGGAGGGAAAGCGCGGCTGCAATGAAGCGGTGATATAGTACGGTGAGTGAACTGGGGCTTTGATGGAGGGCTGCGGAACACAAGGGCGGTGAAGTGGATCGAAGACCTCCGCGCAACTCTCTCTTTTACAAACCTACCTTTTCACGTCGCCGTGCACCGTATGCCCGTACTTTCCCGTACGGCTGTGTTCAGATCCTGAGTGCGGGTGCGGACGGGCTGCTCAAGCTGTGGAACGTGGCCAGTGGGGAGTGCGTCAACACCTTTGACGAGCATGAGGACAAGGTAGGCGGGTGAAGTCCTGTGAGTTTATTGGCTGCTCTGGGGGGACACGGAGTACTGTAGTGTACTGTAGTGTAGTGTACTGTAGTGTACTGCACTGTAGTGTACTGCACTGTAGTGTACTGCACTGTAGTGTACTGTACTGCAGTGTACTGTAGTTCGGGTTGCCCGTGAGTGGCTGTGGTGGAAAGTGAGGAAGGGTTCCGCGGCGGGCTGGGGTGCTGGCAGTGGATCGCAGCTTAGAAACCTCCTTCTTTTCTCACATTGCCGCGCTCATGTTGGGTTTCAGCTAAGAAAACTGCAACCCCGCCCCGCTCCGCCCTGCCTTTCCGTGTGCAGGTTTGGGCTCTTGCCGCTGGTGGCAGTCAAGAGGGGCTGGTGGCCACGGGGGGGGGTGATGCCCTGGTGTGCTTGTGGGCTGACAGTACGGAGGCGGACGCGGCGGCGGCGGCTGCAGCGGAGGAGGAGCTCGCGGAGAGGGAGCAGGACCTTCAGAATGCACTGGCGGTGAGCGGGGTGGAAAGAGTGGGGCGAGGGAGCTGGGGGACCACCTGGGGGGATGGGGGCGGGGGTAGAGGGGGGCTGTAGGTACAGCCAACCAGGATGCATATGCATGGCGGGAGGTAGACGGGCGCTAACCGGGTGCTGTTTGGAAGCTGTACGGGATTTTCCGTATGTGAGGAAAGCACCTGGTAGGTGGGGCTGGGGCTGAGGAGCAGGGGGAGGGTAAGGAGACATGCAGACACGGGGCTGCCCTGGGAGGTGGCGCAGGTGGCGGGGATGCAGGTGTGCTCGGGAGCACCTGGTTTCGATCCGGGGCGTGAAGGACCCCCTCCCCTTTTTCTGTCTTGACCGCCCTCTCAGGACGCCAACTTTTCCAAGGCAGCCCGCCTGGCCTTCAGCCTCAAGCACCCCGGCCGCCTGCTGTCCATCATCACTCGCGCTGCCACAGCCACCGCCAACATTAATACCGACCCGCGGCTCACTTCCGCCGCCTCTACCTCCTCCGCGACTGCGGGCCCTCTGGGACACCTGTTATCGGGCCTCGTGGGCGCCATGTCCGATGAGGACCTGCGCACCTCCCTGGAGTACGTCCGGGACTGGAACACCAATGCCAAGCACTGCCATGCGGCTCAGGCGCTGCTGGGGGCGGTGCTGAGGATGCATGGGCCGGACAAGCTGCTGGCAGTGCAGGGTGGGTGCTAGGCGCGCTAGGGGTGGGTGCGTGTAGCGGTGGCTGGGGACTCACTTGACGGCAGGGCCCCGGGTGTTGGTGTTGCCTGCTGCGTCGGGGTTGGGCCACGTTGAGAATGCCGCCGCACCGGCAGTGGCAGCTTCCGCAGCTCTGGCTCCTCCGCCACTGGCCCGCCGCTCCGGGCCTTACCTTGTACCGTTCCTCATCTGCCATCATCTAGTTTCAGGCCGCCTCCATGTTATCGCCAGGACTCTCCCACCCCTCTATCCACACCCACTGGGCCGCAATTCAGTCCCTCCTCCGTAACCAGTCCTAAGCTGCCAGGTGCCCCTTCCCCCGCAGGTCTGAGCGAGCTACTGCGGCAGATCTCAGTGTACAGTGGCCGCCACCTCTCGCGTCTCGACCGGCTGGTAAGGGAAGAGGGTGAGGGGAAAAGGAGTAGCAGCTTGGTTGTGGAGCACGCCGTGCTACCTGCCAATTGCACCCTGACACCCTTGTCTCCAAACCACTATCCACTATACATTCACTACCAGGCGTGCACACGCTGCATGCATGCTAAAACCGACAACCTGTTCTAAGGAGTTCCGTTCCCACCCCCACCCCGCCCGCGCCCAGGTTCGATCCACGTACCTGGTGGACTTCACTCTGGAGTCCATGGGTGTACTGGGGGTGGGCACTGGGACGGGGGCTGGGGCGGGAGGGCAACTGGAGGAGGCGGATGGCGAGGTGGGTGTGTCGCGGTTGGGAGAAGAGGACGAGGAGGGGGTGCTGATGTCGCGACTCACGGCGGCGGCGCGGGCGGGGCACAAGAGGCCGCGGGAAGAGGAAGAGGAGGACGACGACGGTGGTGATGAGGAGATGCGGGATGGAGGTGGGAGGAATGATGGTCATGAAGGTGGCGATGATGCTGGCAAGGAGGAGGACGAGGAGGATGCAGTAGAGGCGGTGGGCCGGATGGAGGTCGAGGGGGTCCAGGAGTCGGAGTCCGAGGGGGTCCAGGAGTCGGAGTCCGAGGGGGTCCAGGAGTCGGAGTCCGAGGGGGTCCAGGAGTCGGAGTCCGAGGGGGTCCAGGAGTCGGAGTCCGAGGGGGTCCAGGAGTCGGAGTCCGAGGGGGAGGAGGACGGTGAAACCGACGGGGAGGAGGAGGGGACGTCGGAAGAGGGGGAGGACGGACCGCAGTCCCTGTCATGGCGGGTAAGGGAAGGGGCATCCGCAGCAATGGCCGCACGGAGCCCCGCGGTGGCTGCGAGTGGCGGGGGACATAGAGGGCCCTCCGCAGATGACCTGGAGGATGACTTTGAGCTGGTGGGGGGGAGCGATGATGATGAGGAGGAGGAAGAGGGCGGGAAAGGCCGGGAGGAGGCCGACAGCGAGGTTGATGAAGACGGGGAAACGGAGGCCGACGAGGAAGGGCCGCACGCAGGCGCCGGTGTGGATGGTGTGGAGGCGGTTGGCGAGGGGAAGAGCGGCAGCGGTGGCGGTATCGGCAGCGATGATGATAAAGTGATCGAGTCCGAAGAGGCGGAGGAGGAGGAGAAGGAAGTCATGGTGGCTGGCAGCTCCAGTGACGGCGACGGTGAGGTGGCGGCGGCGGCGGAGGAGGACGTGGAGTTGCGAAAGGCGGCGGCAGCGGCAGCAGAAGAGCGGCAGCGGGCCAGCGGTGGAGCCGACGGGGTCGGTGGCAGAGGCACGCGCAGCCGGAGTGCGTCGAAATCACTGACTTCAACACCGATACATGCAGCAGCGGCGGCGGTGGTGGCGGCAGCCCGGGCGCCAGCGACGGCACCAGCCAAGGGGTCTAAGCCGCGTGCGGTGGGTACCGCCGGGACGGCAGCGTCTACTCCTGCGGCTGCAGCAGCTACGAAGCCGGGTGGAAAAGGAAAGGCGAAGGCGCAGACGGAAGCCAGGAGACAGCCATTCGGTCGGTCCGCAAACGGCGGGACCTCCAAAGCGGTGCCAAAGACTCAAGAACGTGAGCTGCAGAAAGTCGCACGTGCACTAGATTTGCCGCCACTGCCGCGTCGAGGGCCTGTAGCCGCCGCCGCTGCCGCCAAGACACCGGCGGTGCCACGGCCCAAGCTTGCAGAGGACAAGGCGCTGAAGCCCTGGATGACACCGAAGCCACCGAAGCCGCAGCCCACGCCCAAGCACGAGCAGAAAGACGTCGAGACGGCCAAGGGGCAGAGTGCCAGAAAACAGCAACTGCTGCCCCGGGCCCAGGCTGTACCAGTGGGAGGGAAGAAGGCTGCCAGTGCGCCGTCAACGCCTGCGGGTGCAGCCGCAGGGAGGCAAGGTGCACGGGCGGCGGGCCCACACGCGGGGTCGTTAACTGGGCCAGCGAAGAAGGCGCGGCGGGCGTGATTGCACACGGGGTGACGTACATGGGGTGGTGTAGCTGCCTGGCGCCATGAGTAACTTGATCTCCGTTGATCTCCGTTGGCTGTATCCTTGGATTTTCTCTCGGGAGAGAGGACGCCTGTGCAGCGATGCTTTTTGTAATGCTCGGGAATCAGTACTTTAGCGCGGCGTTTATTACGTCCGCGGACCTGGAGGGCTATCAGGGGGCTATCAGGCTATCGTCGAGCCAGATATTTTCTGTGCACGGTCGGGAAGCAAACTGACAGCGTTCAAGCGATAATGTCCCTGTATGAAGCAGCAGCATTGATGCGGCGTTAGGCTACCCTCTGGCCAAAGGGTTTAATGACCTGACCGGTCTCTCTTAAGATGTTGAGTGTCCCGCTACCACGGTGCTATCCAAACACACCACGTACGTGAAAGTCGAGGAGCTGTGGGTTGGGAGGAGCTGTGGCGTTGGCTAATAGTTGGGTAAAGGCCAGGTCCAGGTCAGGATATTAAAATGTATGTTTCTGACAACTACCAAGCAATGCATGTTGGACACAAAAACAATAGCCGCAATATATATACCTATTATATACCTATTAACCTCTTTTGTTCGTAACGGTGAATACATCGTCCCGATAGGCGCACGTGGCCAGCCAGCTAGTCAGGTGCGGACACTGGTGGCGCATCCCGCCTCACTTCGCCACCCCACTGTCCAGGCCGGCGCCCGTCATTAGCAAGTGTTGCAGCAGCATCCAGCGGGCTGTACACCTCCAATGCTGTAGCCGTCGCTCATCATCTAGCAGCTACATCCAAACCCAACCCGCAATGTACGTACCAAACGTGTCTATGAATTACGTACACACAGCATGAGACCTCTAATTCCGTCGTTCATCTCGTCAATGACACCTTCAGCGGGGCCCCGGCTTGCTGTGGAGCCGACTAGGTGCCTTCGAACTGAAGCAAGCCTTGTGAGGGCGTAGGTATAGGTACATGTCCCCGTACGGATGGACAATCCAGGCGCAGCCTGCCGTCAATGTGTGCGCAGCCCAGCACCATTCATGGCATCTTTTTCTTCCGTTACGTGATCTTCGCTCTTTTCCATAAGGTTACCCAACCGCGTACATAGGTCCATACCTGCTGCACCGACTTGCCGGGACTGCCAACTAACAGCGACACCATAACTTCCTCGTGCCTTGCAGGGACAATATTCCGGATAATCCACTAAGGTCAGACGGTATCTTAGTACTCAGCACCGCGGGTGCGGTCGGAGGAGGCTTTGGCCCGCCGTACTACTGTTTGTTACACCACACTGCACTGTACGCACTGAACGGCAAGCAATAAATACATGCGTGTCCTGGACGGTCTAGAGCGAGACTGAATAGCTCTTCACTGCCTTGCCTATCGGCAGCAGGATCCTAGATGATGTATGTTGCAACGACCTATATCTTCCAAGGCTCTCCGGTCACTCTCCGGTCACAGCTGACGGGTGGCCCATTGAATCATGTCCACGGGGTCCAAGTCCTCCACGTACTGCCGGTAGGCCTGGTAGTTGACGTGGCGGGGGATGGGGGGCGGCCGCCACACCCGGCTGTTCCGCACCGCACAGTCGTTTCTGCAGATAGGCCGGTGATCATGCAGTGCATTGAATTGCCAGGTGCCAGTTCCGTTGGATTGAGAGCCACGGTGCCAGGGTACAGAGTATGGGCAGTAGGGTGGGGGGCCCTATGCTATGGGGTGTGGCCCGCTTTGATGTCTATGTCACCTGACAGCCACCCGTTCAAGCATAGCTATGGAGGAAAGGTTAAGGTGCATGGTGAAGAAGTAAGCGATGCTCCCAGGAACGCGGGGCAATAAAACCCAAAGCTTAGGAGAACCCTACTAGGGGGTTGCTTGCTCCCGTGTCCCGCCGTCTACTTCAGCTTCATACATGTCGTAGCGCCCGTACAGTTGGGGCCCAACAGCTCACCGATGCCAGGCGCGTCGGAAGCCGTCAAGCTCCACCATCTGCTCTTGGAGACGTCGGCCCCTTCGGCGCACTGCGGCCGCATCGGGCGCGTCGGCCAGTGTGGAGCCGTTGTATTCGCCGCCACCACATTGAGCTGCCGCTGCCACATCCGCATCTCCCCCAGCCGCCAAGGTGACGGATCCTTTGCGCTCCAGGCCCCCTTCTGCATCTCTGTCATTGGTTTCCTCTCGTAAAGCCGTCTTGGTGGAGGACGACGAGCTCTGTGGTTTGTAGCGCCGGCTTCTTGCTGGGTCCACCACTGGCTGGGTACCCATGGGTCGGCCCAGTTGGCCGTTCAGCACCAAGTCCAACATCGCCGGATGCAGCTCCTGCGACAGCTTTGACTTTTCCAGAAAGTCCACGCGCTCGAGTGGGGCTCCATTCTGCTGTCGATTTTCCTGCTTACGCCCCCGTGCCCTCTCCCGCTCCCGCTCCAAGGCCCTTTCAGCAGGAATACCGGATCCAATTGGTCCAGCATGGTCCGCGACATCCTCCAGCTGCGTCAATTCCAGCTGGACGTCCGAAGCCGCTGAGGGTGCAAGCTCAGGAAGCCGTTCCTCCAGTCGGCTGAGCTCGCTCGGTTTGCGCTTCTCCTCGTGTCTGCTGTTGGACAGATTGTAGTGGTTCAGGTTCTGGAGCAACGTACGGCTGCGGCGCACGGCCTTGCGGACGGCCGTTGCAGGGGAGGCACCGCCCGGGGGAGCTGAGACTGCTATGGTGATCGGGTTGGGTCCAGGAATGAGGCTGCCGGTGGCTGGGCCGTAGTCGAAGGGCGCGGGCTTTTTGATGGACTTGGGAGTGCGCTGAATGTAGATATTGTAGCTGCGGGGTGGTAGGGCGGGGGTTGAGCTGGGTCACTGGTCACGTCCCACTTCGTGTTCATCCCGATTGTGGGCCGAAGTTACGAAATTGGCACTGGTAAGCGGATGCACCCCCCCAGACGCACGTCCTTCCACTAGTTCACCTACCCGTCCCAATCGCCCGTGAAGTTGGCGGCGGCGTTCCAGAACATGACGCCTGCCAGCGGCCCATTGCGCTTGGCACTGTTTATGAGCATCTCGAAGGTAATCTGCAACCCAGTAAACGATCAATCGGCAGGTGGTGGGTTGATGATTGTCGATGGGTGGTGCGGTGACCCCGCCGAAATATGTCATTTGTTCCCCCCCCAGCGCCTTTCACCGGAAACCCGGCTACGTTTTGTACGGTTACGGTTAGCCATTACAATTAGCTGGGTAATATTTTTAGGATTAATAGAGCCAAATTATGAGATTTTGTGGAAGCTTAACTTGAAGTTATTTGCCTGGCATTGGTTTGATCTGGTGACTCTACTGCAATTCCTGGTCCCCAAGGTCTTAGGGTTCGATTCATGGGTAGACCTCGACGTAGGTCGGGAGCACCAAATCATGGCTTCCCCTTAAATGTGTGTCGAGGTCGCAGTTGTTAGGTTTACATTCGCATGCTGGATTGGTGTCGATTGCTGGACCCTTATTTACACTGATAATTTTTTTCATAATCACTCCATTCTCAAAATAATAACCGCTAGATAAATAAACGGCTTTTGCGTTTGCCAATCTATAATTGAAAATTATCATCTCATTATTTCGCTTGGCTATGCGTTATTTAGCAACACGTATTTTTTACCTGGGTGAAATTTTGGATAATTAAGTGTCTGGAGTTCTGGGTGACCAGGAGAAAACGGCTAATTTCCTTCTTGGTTAGGTTTACATTCGCATGCTGGACTGGTGTCGAATGCTGGACCCTCTGCCTCCACGGATGTTCGGGTGACTGGATAAGCTGGGATTCTAGAAGGCAGAATTAACCGCCTAGGACTTTCAGTTGGTATGGCGTAGTACAATGTGGTAATGGTGTATGGTGCTCTACGGTGCTCAGTTTTAGACCAATATCCGAATGTTTGCAATCGGCCCAGAAGCCACCCCTGGCCACCCACTCTGTACAAGCAATAACTTATGACAACGAAGGTATCACGGCTGTGTGGAACAGAGAAGCATCCAGCTCCCCTTGGATGTATACATGAGCACCAGCGGCCATTCGTCTGAGGACTCAGCGGCACGGCTCATTGCGAGCGGTAGCGCAGCGCAGCAGGTGCTGCACAAAGCTTACAGCATGCACCTGTGTTGCATGGGTGGCTCACCTGCAGCAATACACGTCTGTCGTGCTCCCACATTCGCCTGGGGACACGGACACGGCGTGCATGTGTGGGGACGTGTGTGGCTTGGGTCGGTGGGTCTGGCGGGTAGGTGGGGGTTATTGCATTAAAAAGGGCCGAGGTGCTCCCTCCCCATCTATCACTTTAGGCGGGGTCCAACTTTAAGCCATGACATATTCCCAAGAGCAACAGCAGGAAGCCACCAACCTCCAATACCCATAATCCCAACCCACCACCACGTCAGGCCATACTCCTCTAGCAGCAATGGTTTGCCCAGCTGCGCGGCTATCTGTTCGTGAGCCTCTACGTAGCGAGTGAACCTGCTTGCGAGGGAGTATCACGGGAAGGTTTTGTGGTAAGGCGACGCAGGGAACAGGCCACGGATGGGGTGGCTGACGGAGGCAGGGGCGGGATTGTTCCGGAGGGTATGGGCGGTTAGAGAGAGTGGTAGGACGGGAACGCAGTGGCCAGTGTGCATCCATCCGTGGGTGAGGGCTGTCGGGGGGGGGGGCCCCATGCAGGGTTGAGCCCTGGTGGTCTCAGGATGCCATGGCGTCTAGTGGCCGGATGCGGGGTGGCAAACGAGCAGGTGGTTGTGGCATGTGGTGTCTGCAGCCCACGTACACAGGACAGCCTTCTCACTCATACTTAAGGGCCCCTTTCCGGTCCAGTCCTGACGACCTTGGGAGGAATGGAACCACCAGTCGGTGACCCCCTACATGTCATGCAGCAATATTGTCTGTCCAGGGATTTTGAGTTTTAGTAAGCGCCGGACAAATCGTAGACCCCCCATATGGCGCACATCACAAGACACGACGTCGACGGTCAACCAGTGTTATTGCGCCGTACATGGAGCTTAACCCTGCGGGGTGGCCCAAAGCCCTCATTTCTAGCACCCCTCTAAAAACTACCAACATTACTATCACGATCAACGTCTCATAGGGTTAGCATGCGGGGGGCAATGTATCTGCGGAGGGAAACGGCGATGCTCATCCAGTGTTGTTGGAGTGTCACGCTTGCGGCGAGTATGCGACGTCTGTGGATGTTCGGCAAGTTCCAGCTTGCGACACGACACGATGCATGACACTTGGTCTCATGGGCTGTCAGGCGCACCAGTTGATGTAGCAGACGAAGTCGCACTTCACCCAGTTGGTGTCATTGCGCTTGGGGTCCGGGTTAAAGGGCAGCTCCTCAACCTAATAGGACGAACAAAACGTAACACGACAGGTCACCCAGCTGCATCACGTTAGCATGGCTGTTACAAGGCGGAGGGCAAATGTGATACCAAACGATTTCAGGCCGAAAATGCGACTATGTGACGCGTAACGTGAGCCCCACGAGGGAGGATGGGGCCCACTCGCCATGGACCTTCTTAGGACAGGTGGAACCCCCGGGACCCTGAACCAGGACATGATAAAATTTGGGAAGTGCTCCTCTAGCATCCCGAGAGACCTTTCCAGCGGATAGCTGCTACAATCGGGATTTCGCAATTAAGCTGCTACTGCCGGCTGCCGCATGGCAGAAGGCTGGACAAGCCCCCGAAGCTGCGTGCATATATTCCCCAAGGAACTGCAAAACTTGATGCCGTACCATGCCGCACCTGCCGTTCGTACACGTGTATACAAGCAAAGTCATGCTCCTTCATGGATACGGTGGCAACCCAGTCCTCCCCTGCACATGAGTTGTGCGAATGTATATAGCAGTACGGGGCCCTAACCAACATGCGTGCACATGCGAAAGGCAGGTTATGGCAGCTGAGACAACAAAGGGCGTCGCCCAATTTGTGAGGGTTACTCCCCGCAGGAAACCGCGGATCGCACCCTCTCCAACGGTGACAGATTCCCATACTGCAGCCTAATGCGTAGTAGTATCGAGCCGATGGACGCAATACCGTCCCCCACTAGTCACCCAGCTCCAATCCATAAACTCTATCCTTCACACCCTGCGCACTCTTATTTTCCTCAGTCAGCCCGCCCTTTCCCTCACCCTCGCATTGCGCGCCTGCCCCCGGGTTGAGCAAGTGCAGGTTTGTGGCGGGATCCGGCATGAAGTAGCCCTCACTGCCCTGCGGTGCGTGTGTGTATGTATGTCCATAAAACAGGCCAACTAAGAATCGCCTGAGTTCATTGGATGGACCGAGAAGGAAAACACCTCCAGCAGCCCGACCCCACGTGCAGTGCAGGTACAGATGCGAATGCACGTGTGTATGCCTCACATGTCCTCACAATGACACCCCAGTGGTTGTGCAGGCAGGTAGTTTGTTTTAGCAGTTAGCAGGAGGAAGGTGGCGGGAAGTAGGTGGAAAGCACGATGATGTTATCAGCAGCTCCTGTCACGAAACAACACCAGGCGATGCTTAGCCTACACTGTCGCGGCTGGCGGCACTCTATCTCAGCCCTTCTAGCTTCCCCAGCTGAAATCCCCAATTGCCTCCTAACCACAACGACACGAAGCGCCCAAACTACCCACACCTGTGTGATGAGGTGGTTGGGGTCTATGGATCTCAAGTACGACGCCATCTCCCGCAGCCAGTCCAACTTCACTGTCAGCTGGGAGGCATCGCATCCTGAGGGGAGGCGTGGGGAACGAAAGAACGACGATGCAGGTAAATCAGGGGAACCATGAAACCCCCACCCCTAACATTTAAAAATACAGCTGCCGACGTCGAAAGCACCAACGGACGGAATCCGACGCAAGGATGACGCAACTGACCGTAATCCCGGAGCCTTGCTCTAAGAACTTTAGCGACATTCGTATGCTGCGTACAGGTAGCCGCCTTCAGCACGTTAATCTTTAGCACAGTGTACGAGGGTCGTCATTGCCAATGGAGTGTAGTGGCAGTGGCCTTGTAGGAGAAGAATGATCGCCTCGGTCTAAAACGTGCCTTTACATGTGGGGTGTTCCCGCTCCGAGGCAACGTGATGCAGCTACGCCAAACGTTATGCAACTTCGACCGATCGATCTGTGTCATGATGAGTGAGCGATCACGCGACCCCTCTCGTCTGTAAGGATCCCTCGCCCATAGACCCCATAGACTTTCAGGCCTATCTATCATATACCATGGCACGATCTATAGACCATATATCTTGAGTCTATATACGACCTATTTATCGGCCCTATCTATTATATGATGACCCTGTCTGTAGACCATATAAAATCTACCGACGTTATCCTCACGACGCACCTGGGCAACGCGGCTCGTTCATGACGTCCCATCCCAGTATGGCGGGGTCGTCACGGTAACGGAACCCGCTGTAGGCGTTGACCCGGTTGATCACGGCGTCGAAGTGCCGCTTCACCAGCTCCCGTGTGGAACGGTCAGCATAGTAGTCGTAAACCGTCTTGCCGTCTTTCAGGTGCAAGCAGATTGGATGCAGGGTTTGGGGGAGCGTTTGGGGGAGGAAATCAGGGCGGGTACCTGCGTGTGTGTGTATACATGGCAATGCTGCCACTCTAGTATCAGCTTGTGTGAGTGTGTGGGCAGAGGCGAGGGTGCGTGTGTGTCACATAGCGCCTCGCCATCGCAGAGAGAAGGATGCACCTCAATGAGAGCTCAGCTTTCAGCCAGCTGCGCACACGGGCCCGTACCACCCTGATATTCACAGCTAGCGAAGCCCCCGGGCCCCATAAGCCATTTGCATCCTCTTCGCTTTCCTGCAAAGCATTACTGTAGCGATATAGGCACACTCCGGAAAGTAGCAACATACTAATCTTAATCTGATTGCACGGACCACACAAAATTAATTCAACCGTGCAATCATGTCATCGCACATCGTTCGCCGTACAGTTACTCTTGTTGTACCTACCTGCGCTGCCGGTTGCCATGTACAGGTAGTGCTCGGGACCCTTGTATTGCGGCCAAAGGTTGGTGAGCGCCAGAATGACGCGAATCTGGAACTTGGAGGCAAGGTAGATGCAGTAGTCCAGGCCCAGGAACTGGGAAGGTGTGAGAAAATACAAATAAACCAGCTGCATGGATGGCACGAAAGAAAAGGAAAAAGGCTGCCACAGCCATGTAGGGGCCCGGGGCCTGAAGTTCACAGGCAGAAAGCTCCGGGAGCTGGCGGGCAGATGCAGATGCATGTACCGGCCGAATGTGGAGATGAAAGATTAACGTAGGTCCGCACGGGTGTGTTGCTTTGTAGGCCAGCGTGCCTAGGCCTGGGTTAGGGCGAGGCCTCGAAACTGGGCTGACACTGTTTAGAGCCGTTCGAGGGCCTTCGGTGGATCAACCTCCCCTTGTGGCTTCAGAAGCCTCCCCGCTCGTCACAACCTAAGAGAACAGCTTGGCAAGCAAGGCTACCAGCCATTCCATCCGCATCTATGTGCGCTGCGCTTACTTACACACAAGCTAAAATATAATGCATGCTGAGTTTCCAAATGAGGACGGGCGGAGATCCTTGTGAGGGTCTATGCCAAAAACCAGAGGGGAAAGGCCGCCAGGCCGCGGGAAGCAGGAACAGCCCCAGCGGGCACTAGGACGCATAAGCCGCAGGTTCACCACAGCGCGTCTGCAAGCGTAAGTCGATTGGTGCCCCCAATCCCTACTAGCCGCCCCCTGCTGCTGCTCCCTGTCACAGGTACTACGTACCTGGTGGCAGGCTATACATATCGGCGAATCGTGCCTTCACTGGAAAGGCCCGCAAGCTGAGGATCTGTTGAGTTTTGCACGCTGGACAAGGTGAAAGATGAACGTCATGTTCTCCAAGAATGCCCGTTTCATTCTGCATGTCGTTGAGTCCTCGGATGTAGTAGCTGGCCGCTGAAAAGGCCTCTGAAGAGCCTGGCGGAGCGTCTTAGCGCTATTTCTAGACGATGTGTGCCGTAATATTTGCAGCTACAAATAATTAGCCAATATTCTTATATGAATACGATTATGATGAGCCGCACACAAACAAAAACGCCCACCTGGTACACAGCATTTGGCTTACACGCGCGTCTTTTCACATTCTTCGTATCTGATTAGTATGATTGTTCCCTTGCGTCTATTGCTTGGATGTCGGGACTTTTGTGTCTTAGTATGTTCCTAATAGCTTGTGGCTTCTAGGCTTTTGGGCCTCTGGCACTTATGGGCTCGTTACACCTCTCTGGGTCATGCAACTGAGGTATAACACACACACACACATATCAACACTCCCGCTGAGCCCCCCCTCTTGCCGCACCAAGTAACGCAGGCTCTACTTGCCTGGTCTTCATCGTACTCTCCGGGACGTACCGGCAGCCCCTTGTTGAAGGCCCACCAGCGACCTACTCGCATGCCCAGTCGCTGCGGAGGACGGATAGCCATCAGCCAGAGGCATCCGCAGGCGAGATCACGGTTTAGAAAGTAAGGGGATAATGGATAAAACTGAAGGTTTTCTGTGAGTAACGATAGAAAACCGAGGTTTTCTGTGAACTCAAAAGAGTTGGCTGTGTGTGTTGGTACGGCATGTAATGCCAGTTAAGGAAGTCGCTCTGGTGTGTTAAGAGTATTTTTCGGGTTTCGTACCTACATTAGGCCGCCGCTGTGAGGCATTAGATGTCGGATGCCGCCGCGGAATAGCCACATTGCAATCTCACATATTGGCATTCACACTCAACTGCCGGTGTAACCTTTCGTTACATAAGCGCCACTTACCTGCGCTGACTGCATGAAGAGCGCCGCCTGCGTGCGGCCCCACTCATGCTCAAATGTTGCCAAGTTAGGCAACCAGTGTGCGTTAAAGCCGATGAAGTAGAATGGCTTGCCATCCTCGATCATCTGGTTGCCGCGCCTGCAGCAGATAAGAGTTAAGTCGTCATAAAGGTTGGCGACAGGGCTCAAGCTAGATTATAGCACTCGGCGCAGGTTTGTAATAAGCCTTCCGGTTGAGAAGGAAAGTCATATGTCAGAGGGATCCAAACCTAGTACGATCAAACCCGTTAAACCTTCTTGGGTTCATAGAAAGCCGCATTCTGTGTGCACTAAGTACGGCGCCAATACTCACAAACTGATAAAGGCCGATCGAGCTGCTGGCAGCGGGTCGGGAGTCACGGCAGGCGGCCGCAGCAGGATCACGTCGGGAGAGTCGACAGCACTGGTGGGCCGCGTGTACCGGGGGCCAGTGGCAACCACAGCTGCGGGTCTGCCACTGGAACGAGGCGGTGGCGGTGGTGGCGGTGGTGCTGGTAGTGGTGGTGGTGGCGGCGGTGGTGGTGGTGGTGGTGGCGGCGGCGGCTGTGGTGGTGGTGGTCGCGGCGGCGGCGGCGGCGGCGGTGGTGGTGGTGGCGGCAGCGGCGGCAGTGGCGGCGGCGGTGGTGGCGGTAGTGATGGCGGCAGCAGCAGCAGTGGCAGTGGTGGTGGTGGCGGTGGCGGTGGCGGCGTTACTGGCAGTGTCATCGGGTTCAGGCGATTGCCGCTCTGCGGAGATATGGGCAGCTCCACAGGTCGAATGGGTAGTGCTGGTGCTGGGATTCCTGGTGAAGGGGGCAAATCGACCGCATGGGGATAACGAGCGCGAGGGCCATATCGCGTGAGACCGAATGCGGCAAATTGAGTTATGTACGCGTCATGGGCCGTACGGGAGACATCGCAGTAAATGAGAACTATACCGCGCTACTTGCGTGGTCTTGCATAAGCTGACACACCGGACGCATAGCTGGTAATTGGGACACATGAAATGGATACACGTACATTCCACTCCCCAGCTGCCCATCTCCCCACCTACCTACCTGCCTGTTTACCTACCTACACGCCTACCTACCTACACGCCTACCTAGCTGCCTCAAGGGAAAGCGGGAGCATACTGTGGGATGCGACCGAGAGAGGAAACGGAACATCAAACCTCTGCAGAGTGATGCCCCCAGCCCAACATGTCAATTATTTAGCATAGCATATACTCACGCACCTGGACGTTCAATGGCTGCCGTACCTGCTGCCATGTCAATCGCATTACCAGCTGCACCTGCATCAACTGCGCCAATCGTTGCACCTACATCAGCCACATTAGCCGCAGCCGCATTAGCCTCAGCCGCATTAGCCGCAGCCGCGTTAGTCGCAGCAACTGATGCGACCCCATCAGCCGCTGCACGTGTATCAACTGCATCGACCACATCAACCGCATCAACCGCTGCGCCTGCATCAACTGCATTCACCGCACCAGCTGCAGCAACCCCGTCAACCGCTGTACCTACATCAACGGAATCAACGGCATCAACCGCACCAACCACAGCAGCTGCATCAACCGCAGCAGCTGTATCAACCGCAGCAGCTGTATCAGCCAAATCAACGTCTATTGCAGCAAGTCGTCCTACCGCATCATCATCAGCCGCTTCGGTGGGTAACGGCCTGAAAAACAATTGTGCCTGAGCCCCAAGGGGCCCTTGGCATGAGGCCACGCTGAGGACGATGAGCAGCAGCAGCCGTAACAGCATCCGGGACGACAATGAAGGCAACATCGCTATAGCACAGGGCATCGGAAGAGATCCCAGAGTGCGAGAAACGCTGGTGCCAGCAGCCGAGCAATTGTGAACCCGGCTGGTGCCCGTGGCGTCCCTTCTCCCAAGCGTTTCTGCCACTACCACTTCCACACCAAGTTCCTCAGCAGCAGGTTCGGGTAACACTTCCTTGTGTGGGCGAGCTTCAGGGGTGGCGGGCAGGTACAGCCCCCGGAGCCTTGCAGGGCAGCTGGCCACCGCCGGCGCCTTAAGTGGCGGTTATCGGCGAGGTGGTGAGAGACCAGGTGGGGGTACAGCGATGGAGCCAGTAGCGTGCCTAGCTTGAGGCCCCTAGCTGAGAACACCTATAAACGTGGTGGTTGGGGTGCTGCGGGGTTTGGGGGAAGGGAGTTGCACTTGTGGACACGACGACGGAATGGTGGGCGGCTGACTCGGCCGACGGGCAAACTGGGCTCCGCATAGGCGCAATGGTTCGAAGCTTACCGACTTGTAGTTGTTTGTAGAAGGTAGCCTGGTGTGGGATGGTGCCAGCAGGGCTTCCAGTTTCTACCCTGCTATTATGTGCATCGGAAGATTGCGGTGGGGAGGCACTAACAAGCAGGACTAAGCGAATGCATACAGCAGAGAGGTGGTCATCAGATGCGTACTTCGAAGCGATTTCGGTAAGTCCGTAACCCTTTGGCAGGAGTTGGTTCGCGTAATCGGTTGATGGCATGACAGTAGGGTCACCAGGTCCAGGTCAGGAGATAAATCCTTGCGGTGGAAAGGTCCAGCGGTATTACGTCTTACCTGAATCACGTAATGGAGCCAGGCGGCAGCAGCTGGCGAAGTTCTGCTTGAAGCGAGCAGCCCTGCTGGATGGATATAGACGGTCGAGATAGTCGTTGGCGCGTTTGAAAGGTTCACATGGGCGGCGACTGTGTGACATGCATCAAGGTTCCTAGTTAGCGAGCCACTGGGAAGTTGTCTTAATAATTGCTAAGTCTGCTTACACCATTCCTTTGGTCAAGGTGTTTTTACGGGGCTGCTCATTTGGGACCACTGTTGGGACCAAGTTGATGCTTATTAAATGTTTGTGCGAAGAACCATGATACTATGCCGACTTCACCCATCAGCGTGGCAAACGCAAAAATCTTTTTCGGATATGGGTCTGTCGCAACGTTGCGACAGTTCACTGTGTCCAACTGCTGCAGGTTCGCGCTTCCATCCTACGCACCAAGACATGACAGGTCCTTGGAGCGGCTATTTTGAGAAGGTTGTGGGACACCCGTACATTATTTAATAACCAAGGGTGATGGGTATGTCTAAATCTAGAGGAAGCTTTCATATGTATTAGCAGGGCTGGAGCTGGTGGCAAGTAGTTGACTGTAAGGAAGTGGCCCATAATGTACCCGTGTCAAATTGCTGCAGCTGCAGCAAGCTGGCTAGGCGGGAAATAGGCCTGAATATGCATTGTTGTACTTAGCTTTCGTTTGTCTGTCGAATTGGAAGTTTCTGACTCGACGCATCCGTCGATTGCAACGCTTTTTAAGACATTGCAAGCCCTGAAATTGCGACCTGACTGATGACATCGTAAAAGAGATAATGCAAGAGGTTACCAATTACTTACAGTCAGCCCAATAATTTTGAAACTCTTAGGGGGTGTTTCCACTTGGATTAAAAGTCGCGGATTAAGGCTTAATCCGTCGCATATGGAAACATCGCGCGGATTAGGACGGATTAGGCGGATTAAGGTTGGCGCGATTAGTTAGAGATTTCCGTCCGTATTCACGCGCTTCGCGGATTAATTATAGATTAATATGCTATGAAATGCGAGCTTTCTGCTTATACTAAAAGCTCAAACTTGGTGCGAAAAATTTGCTACCTGGTGGCCACCAGGTATCAAATTGACAATCTCGGATTAACACTTTTCACGACGCCTCATAAAAAGCCTGAGTGATAGGTTGGAAGGTTATCCTTTATAAAGGCTGTAGGTGTTCCTAGTTTTGTGGAAGCTTTGTGCTTCTTGTTCGGCATTATGCACCACACCGTGGGTGTCGTTCAAAGGTGCTACAAGGCCTTCATGTTGATACTCGATAGTCTTTTAGATGTCTGGCAATACTCGTTTTTGCATTTTATGCACGGAATGAGCAAGTGTCGTACTTCAATCCGTTTCTTAATCCAGACGTATGAAACACTCCGACGGATTAGCGGTGGATTGGCGCGGCTTAAAAATACCTTAATCCGCGACTTTTAACCCAAGTGGAAACACCCCCTTATATATCATAACCAACCCTGATGAATGTGCTGATTGCATCCATAGAATAGGGTGTATTTCCAGTGCGGATTAGCGTTAATCCCTGTGCTAATCCCAGGGTGTATTTCCAGTGCGGATTAGCGTTAACCCCTGTGCTACGTTAATCCCTGTGCTAATCCCAGCATTAATGCTGGGATTAGCACAATCCCTGTGCTAATTAACGTGTGCGGATTAACGCTAATCCGCACTGGAAATATATTGGAAATCCCACCGGGATTAAGCACAATCCCTGTGCTAATTAACGTGTGCGGATTAACGCTAATGCGCACTGGAAATATATTGGAAATCCCACCGGGATTAAGCAGGATTCGCCGGGGGCTTAAGGAATTCCTCAGGACACTGTGTTCTCTATTCAGAGGACTAGCAGGAGTCAGCAAGAGATTAGGAAAGAACATAAATTGAACTTGATGTCCATGTATTTACCTGGAAACTCGTGACAAAAAAGTTATTACCTGGCCCCACCCAGGTAGTAACATTCCGTATCTGGATGAGCGTTCATGGCCTTATATCTTACTCTAATTTCTAGGTAATTCCATATGGATGACGTCATTAGAGTATAATTTGAGGTCGACCTCAAGTAAGCAATATCTGATTTGGTTTGCGCGAAAGGTGCTACTTAAATGTCAGGCCTCATTTACTTTAGAATATCTTTAAGCTATTAAAGCTTAATCACAGTAACGGTACGGTCCCGTAGTTACGAACCATACTCGTTAACTGTACGAGCTCACTTTCTGTTGCGCTATCACAACCTAGCGTAAGACAGCAAGACTGCAGGAATGGAGATGGCGGCAGGTGGGTCGCATTTAATTAAATGCGGCCACCAGGTTGGCTTACAAGCCAACCTGGTGAAGTGCTTCGTCCAGACACTTTCGTATCACTATACCAGTGTTTGAGCGCTCAAGACTCTGCTGTCACCGTTCTCGACTTACGTCTTCGAACTCCGATTTCCCGTACCGCGTCTAACGATCTCGCTCCTAACGCTTAGCCGCCCTCGCCTCCCACGTCCTTGCAATCCAACACTTCCGCAGAAAGTTTTAAAGCCTAAGGTAAGGACGGCTGTTACGTAACATAGGTAGATAGCACGGAGAAATAGATCATGAAGGTCTTTGGGGCGCGCGGGTGCTGCAGTGCCTCTGTTACTTAGGGTCAGCAGTGCTGTCGTGCCGAGGTTGGGTTTTGGTGTTGGGCGCTGGCGCCCTTTCGCGGTGCGTGCCGGACCGTTGGCTGTCTGGTGTGTCGCGCCGCGGTCGGGCGCGCGGCCCCCGTCGCTACGGGCGGCCTGCTGGCCGGTTGGGCCGCGCGGCCACCGTTAGGCTTGGCTGTTTGCTCTTCCTGCTGTGTATACGTAAGGCCCGAGGCAGAGGTGCAATTCTCGCCAAAATCGTCCAAACCACGCCGTTCAGCACCATCGG